AAATTGTGACCTCTATAGGGACCACAAGCTCAAACCGTGATTTTCCTTACAATCAGGGGCCATATTTGGGTTATAAACATGCATTTCAAGTTTCATCAAAATCGGATCAGAATTGTGACCTCTAGAGTGTCCCCAAGCTAAAAACATGATTTTTCATACAATCAGGGGCCATAATCCATGAAGTTATGGTCCGATACAGGCCAATATCGAAAGGAACCGAGATCTTTGGGAGATAGACCTATATTTCAAGTTTCATCAAAATCGGATAAAAATTGTGACCTGTAGAGTGTCCACAAACAAATTGTGGACGGACGGATGGACGGACAGGGGCGACAACAATATAGGTCCACATGAAAATGTGGGGGTATAAAAAATTCAATTTGTACAAGGAAAATAGTTGAATTTTCCACCTCCACACGTTTCGATTTGGTTCAGCTTTACTAGGTAAATTACACAAGAAATCTATATCATCTCGTATGTAGCTCTTGATGTGCTTTGATAGAGGTTTGAGAATGATGTTTATAAAATTACAACAGGTCTAAATTTCAAATCAGTAGTGACTGGAATGGTAATCACTTCCTGTCTTTGTTCCATTACTGCATTTCTTTGCTTTTATGAATCTTTGGTAATACATAAAAAATCGCCTGGTTTGGCTCAAATTTGGTCAAGTAAGCATATTCTTTATCTCTTATTTCACCTCTATGACTGCCTTTAAATCTAATTACTATATTTTTCACTTTCAGTTCCTTATCTAAATTGGACAATTTATAGTAATTAGAATCCCCTAATAATTCTATAATTTTCTGTCTATAGTACAATTTGTTCATCAACACAATAGCACCCCCTTTATCATGGCACCAAATATTGTCAACATTGAGAAAGGATTACGTCAACTCGCACCAGGTGGTAAAGTCGATTATCTAAGGCACCAAATAACTGAAATATTAGCAAGGGCAAACACTAAACAGCAGACAACCAATGTTTCCCACCAAGAAAGGAAAGTCCTCAATGACCTAAAAGACGACAGAACCATTATAATTGTTTCCGCTGACAAGGGAAAAGCAACAGAGAGAGAGAGAGAGAGAGAGAAATGGGGTTTAACTGTCAATGGCTTAGTCCAGATCAGGCAACATATAGAAGAATCCGCAAAGACCCCACAAATGCGCACAAGGACAGCCATGAAAACTTGCTGAGAAAACCGAAAGAAGAAAAATGGATCTCTGAAGCTCTCTATTACAAGCTCAAACCAAACCACCCTCGACCACCTTATGCCAGGGCTACTATAAAGATAGGTTGCCAGGCAACATTTATAATACACTCATGAAGTAATTATCAGAAAACCATTAGAATTTGTTTGGTTTTTAATATCATGGATTTAGCTGTTCAAGTCATAAAAATTCATTGAAAATCAATATACTTGTTCATCTCAAGCTCTTAAACTCTGTGTATCAATCTGAAGTCAATCGGATGATAACTTTAGCCTCTAGAGCGTCACAAGATTTTTCAAAGTGATCAAGGGCCATAACTGTGACAGTAATTATCGAAAATCACTGAAAATGAATAGACTTCTTTGTCTCATGACCTTAAACACTGTGTATAAATTTAAAGTCAATCGGATATTGACTTGAGCCTCTAGAGCGTCCACGAGATTTTTCAAAGTGATCAAGGGCCATAACTCTGGCAGTAAATATCGAAAATCACTGAAAATGAATAGACTTCATCTCATGACCCTAAACACTGCGTATAAATTTAAAGTCAATCCGATATTGACTTTAGCCTTTAGAGTGTCCAAAAGATTTTTCAAAGTGATCAAGGGCCATAACTCTGGCAGTAATTCTCGTAAATCGCTGAAAATCAATAGGCTTCTTCGTCTCATGACCTTAAGCACTGTGTATAAATTTAAAGTCAATCGGATATTTACTTTGGCCTCTAGAGCGTCCACAAGATTTTTTGAAGTGATCAAGGGCCATAACTCTGGTGAACCGGGCGAAAAAGACATGTGATCCTGAGAGCCTCTCCAAGGAAATTGATCATCTCAAACACGTCTTCACAAATTTCAACGGCTATCCAGAGAAGTTTGTGACAAACACCATCAATAAGACCCTGTCAGTGAGTGCAGTTAAACCCAAAACCCCGACTGCCCCAGTCAGAATCTTCCTTCCTTTCAACGGCAAAGTCTCCTACCAAATCAAACGGCTACAAATGCAACAACCAGAAATATATGTAACTTTCACAAAAAGTAACAGCACAAAAGATATACTATGAGCCAATGGTAAACTAAATCTAACACAATCAAACAGATGTGTTTATCAAATAGAGTGCAATTGTGGAAGCACATACGTGGGGGAGACAAAACGCCCATTAAATAAAAGGATAGATGAATACAAGTCGAAAGCAGGGCTGTCGGTAATTTTTCACAGTTGATTAGCAGCAATGCTAATCAAAAAGTCCAATTTTGCCAAATTTGATTAGCAAATTTAAAAATTGATTAGCAGTTTTTCAGTTTCAACGTAAAACACCTAAATAACAAGATATTACTTTAATTCATAACGAATTGAAATATGATTAGATTCCATTCTGACTATTCTTAGATTTTTTAGCACTGCCACAAGTACTTGTGACAGTTTGTGAGTGTGATGTAGACATTTAGTTAGGTCTTACGTCTGAAGCCAATTCTTGACAGTGACTTCCGAAGCCCCACTCATTTTAATTGTAATTTTTTTGTTACGTTAGAAATCTTCGTTAGAAAACAATTTCGTCTGCTTTTTATCGTGTATTATTATTTTTGTTCAATCGGACGCACCTCGATTAACTAGACACACGCGATATAAACAATAATATTTTACGGGAATTTTTACTTTGATTTATCATTTTACAATACGTTAACATGTGTTTATTTTTTTTATATTTTATTTACAATACGTGGGAGATGCACTGGATTTATTTCTTTCAAAATGAATATGATATAATTACTTGATCTCTCACAACGTGAGTGGTACTTCTTGATTCCCTATTTCCGGTTTAATAGTCCCTATTCATAGAGTTATGTCCCTGTGTTATATAGTATTGTGTCTGGGCAGTTCGAGAAGAAAATGTCACACGGAGAATTCAGTTTTGTTTATAAAATTTTATTCAACATTTTATACACGTTGAAAGTGTTGAGTAAGCCTTCTAGTCTTAAAAATGTGGATTATTCTTGTGTCAATATCCAAAATGACAGGCATATTAATGATTCGCAGTAACTGCGAATCAAAAACGTTAGATTTTAATTTTTGGTTAGCAACGGACAAAATATGTATCGCAAATTGCCCTGCGATACTGGTTGTCGGCAGCCCTGGTCGAAAGCAGCAACCAACAACTCAGCTGTAGTGGAAGCACATACGTGGGGGAGACAAAACGCCCATTAAATAAAAGGATAGATGAATACAAGTCGAAAGCAGCAACCAACAACTCAGCTGTAGCTGAACACATGAACTCCAAACCTCGCCACAGAGTCCAATGGTCCTATGTTAAACCACTATGCAAGAATAAAAGCAACAAGAGGGCGCGTCGACTGCATGAAGCCATTCAAATACGAAGACACAAGCCAACGATGAACAGAGATTAAGGATTGTTCCTCTCCAGGGCGTATGATTCTCTTATTACATAATCATAGGCTAAGCATAATAATTTTTAATTAATCACATTTAATACTTAAAAATATTCTAGTAATAATCTAAGTTTGTAATAATTAATATAATTTGTAAAAAAAGATGAAAATTAATAATTGGCTACTATTTTTTGCTTTTCAGAGCTGCTGTTATCGAAATTCAATGCACTTAATAGTTCAAATCCTGCCTTTCCAAATTACTATAGCATCTAGGGAAAATACTACTCACTAATTCAAATAGTCGGCCTTCTGGGGAGCTTTGATCATTTGTGCAGTCATTGTTCTAAGGGTTTTTCGTATATTAGTGGAATCACTTACAACAAGCATAATTATATCAACATTTTCGTTATAATACCAATCAAACCTCATCCTTTTAGGGTGTTGGGATTATCATTATTAAAACCTGATCAAATCATTGTAAATACTCCACAACAAGCTATTCATTAATCATTTGTGTTTATTTCAGATAAAGTGGTTGTTGATAACATTTTATCAAATTTCATCTTTTTTGATCGTTTGTCATTATTAAAACTTAATAAATCAATGTATATATACTCCATAACAAGTTATCCTTTAATCAATTAATCAATTTGCGTTAATTTTCAGGTAAGTTGGTCTTATTGAATGTTGTTATTAGCATTAAACTTTATAATCCTTAATTAAATTAGACTCCCCTTAGGACATGTAATTAAGGGGTATCTCTGGTTTTTTAGCATTAACTAAGTATTGTTGTGTTATAAACATGCTTTTCAAGTTTCATCAAAATCGGATCAAAATTGTGACCTCTAGATATACCAATCTTGATATACCAGATGTTTACACTATTTGCGTAGAGAGACGGCCATTTTGTCTGGCAGTTTTCCGCTGATTTTCACAAAATTCGAACTCAACCAACATTACGGTGTAAGGGTGATATATTCGAACAGTTTTTTAAATCAGATAATAATTGTGACCTCTAAGGGTACCACAAGCTAAAAAGGTGATTTTTCATACAATCAGGGCACATAATTCATGAATTTACGATCCGATATGCGTGAATATCGAAAGCAATCAAGAGCTTTGGGTTATAAACATGCATTTCAAGTTTCATCAAAATCGGATCAACATTGTGACCTCCAGAGGGTCCACAACCTTGATATACCAGATGTTTACACTATTTGCGTACAAGGGGCAGCCATTATGACACATTATAACAAATCTACAAGCATGTCAAATTTCAGCTATATAAATTCAACTATCGCCACTAATGAGCTCAAATTGTTCCTAATCAAAGTTCTTCCATATACCTAAGAACAAACTGGTTAATACAGACAAGCAGATGTTATTCTCATGTGAATAATACACCACCTACCTCTGGATCTAAAAATAAATGACAATGCGATAGTTGACGATCTCGGCCTGCTCTACCAATTTCCTGGACATAACTTTCAAAGCTTTTTGGCAAGTTGTAATGGATAACAGCTCGCACATCTGACTTGTCTAAGCCCATCCCAAAAGCTACGGTAGCTACAACCACACGTAACTTGTTTGTCATAAAGGATTTCTGTACTCGCTTTCTTTGAGCTGAGGTTAATCCAGCATGGTAACATTCTGCAGACCAAAGTTGTTTCTTTTTAGATTTGTTTGCTACTTCTGTAAAAAATATCTTGATTAATCAATTTATAGGCAAAACTATTATGAATACAAGCTAAGACAACGAATTCAGATCAATTTAACATTATATGTTGAAGTTAATAATAAAAATCTAAAAAGCTCTGAAAAAGAATGCAATGCTTTGATGACAAAAGGCAATAACTCTGCAAGTAATTAATACACGTCTTTTAACTTTCATAGGGTTCATCCATATGACAATAACATCAACAAAGATCTTACAAAAGTTGAAATAACAAGCCAACAGTGAGGCTGATATTCCCCACCAAAATCCCCCCCAAAACAGATGACACATTTTAATTAAATGCACATTTATCTTTTTCATAAGCATCGAGTAATCAAACTGATTATCTATGCTTAGTCTAAGCATAAAATGTTGACTATCAAACTCAGGTTCCGAAGTAGCTGGTAGTGAATGAAGCTATACACTAAGTTTCATCAATCTCCATCAGTTAGAATCAAAGTTATCTTGTTCCAAAGCATCGACCAAAGAAATTGCTTAGCTTTAATGGGAATATTAATCATTGAACTCAGTCAAGACATTCACTTAATGAACATCTATACCACAATTAAAAGCAGAATTTTTAAGTTCCAAAGTCTTGACCAATCAAATTGCTTATCGCTACTTACCCTAAGCAGAAAATTCTCATCATCGAACTTAGTCAATGTATTGATATAATGAATCTATACCAATTTTGAATATTCTACCTCAATTTCGAAGGAGAGTTATTGTGTTCCAAAGTCTCGACCAATCAGATTGAATTCTATACATTGGTAAGCAGAAAATGCTCAGCATCGAACCTTGTAAATTACTCAATTAGAATCAAAGTTGTTGAGCCAAAGTCTCAACCAATTAAATTGCTTATCGCTTTGCTTACCCTGAGCCGAAAATGTTCTTATAATTAAACTTAGTCAAGGTATTGATGTGATGAAACTATACACCAAGTTTCATCACTCTTACTTAATTAGAACCAAAGTTAGCGTGTTCCAAAGCTTCAACCAATCAAATTTCTTATCTCTACTTACCCTTAGCAGAAAATGCTCATCTATGATCTCCATCAAGGCATTCACCCAATCAATGCCTACATCAAGTTTGAACATTCTACCTCAATCCAAAGGAGAGTTAATGTGTTCCAAAGTCTCGATCAATCAAATTGCTTATCACTCTGTTTACCCCGAGCAGAAAATGCTCATTATTGAACTTAGTCAAGGTATTGATGTAATGAAACTATACACCAAATTTCATCACTCTCATTAGAACTAAAGTTATTGTGTCCCAAAGCATCAACCAATCAAATTGAATATCTCTGCTAACCCTAAGCAGGAAATGTTCATCTTCGAAACTCCATTAAGGCATTGACCTAATAAACAACTACACTAAGTTTGAACATTCTAGTCCAATTAGAAGGAAAGTTATTGTGACCCAAAAAGTGTGACGGACAGAAGACGGGCAGACAGAGACAGACCCATTTTAATAGTCCCCTGCTTTCTTCAAAAGGCAGGGGGGCAAATATAGAATTTTGCAAATAATTAATTGTTCCTAGTTTTTCTTAGCACAAACATAAACAAAATTTGTACAGCTAATCAAAACATTGGTGTTGAAAAAAAATTGGCTTTTTTGGAACATAAACTGAAATACTTTGCATAATCAGATTATAACCATAGCCTTCAGAGGGATTACAAGATTTTAGAAAGTGATCAAGGGCAATCATAGTGCTCCTACGACTAGTCAGATAGCCGTAACGGTTAGAACTGGACGGTTAAACGGTTCGAATTCAACAGTATGGTTATTCGGAGATGTCCCCCATTCAATACAGTTGTGTCTGTAGTAGGAGGGGCTTGTGACCGGCAAAAATGTACTCCACGAAGCTCGCCAATATGTAATACGAGGGCAAGCCCGACAAAAATGAAGTATCTAGGGACTTAAAAAGCAAAAATGTAGGTTCAAGCTCGCCAAAACCAAAGGTACCCGGGAGTCAATCGCGTCCCGACCCTCAGTTAAAATAAATGCAAAGTAAGTCCCGCCCTTTTTACCAGACACAAAACCTCTAACTGTGGGTTTATTCAGAAGAACCAGGGATTCGTATACTGGATGCTCAATGGTTTGCCCCAAACATCAATTCAGAGAAAACAAACGATTATTTATTATTCCCAAAAATTTTTATTAAACAAATTGCAACAGCTGACAATCGTATGGTTTAATAAATCTATAAATAAATAGATGAATAACTGAATGAATGAAGGAGTTTATCCCTAACCAATTAATTGGGCCTCAATTTCTAATACAAAAGTTTAGATTTATCCAAGTGTTTATCAGATGAATATGAAGGTAGGTTTTTACAAAACAATTAATTTAATGTTATCTCGAGATTCCATGACTATTAGTACTATAGTAACTTTCAACAACTACGAATCGTACGCGGCTTTCCGCCTACAGTAATACTGGTTCCACCCGTTCTAGACCACGTCCTTAATGCCGGATTTCGCTCCGAGCAAGATAAAATTCAGACGGCAGGCACAGTCATTACACACGAAACAATGCAGGTACCGGTTTGCACAAAGTTCGCACAATAAAACCAATGACATGTAAAACCAAGACCGAATCTACATAAATGCAGACAAAAGTCCGCAAAGTAAAAAAAAATCCACGGAATCACTTCGCGAGAGTAACCCGCGCCAATGATCGACGAGTATAATTACCAAACAATCCGAACCGAAAGCGCAGTAATATTAGAAAATGTAGAAAGCCACTTTAAATGTTAAATGTATGAGCGCGAAAAATTCCTAACTAAACCTAACTAAATCACGACGTTTAAATACTTTTTAAATCATCGATAAATAAAAACCAAAATTACATATAGTTTATTAGCATGGCGGAAAAGCTTCTTTTCCCGGCCAATAAATGGAATAGTTACTATTCCCGTACCTATATTAATCCCGGACCGCGGTACAAAGACAAGTGGTGAATTCAGCTCCTTATATACCCTCTTACTCGCGAAACACTCGTGCGATCAGCGCTGAAGGCACCATTCAAACGCTGATTTGATTGGCCGCGCATAGCCAATCAGAGAGCACGTAGCGAAAACTCAAGGCTGGAATCAAGCATGGCCGACTTCTGACAGGTAAATAATGAAAATTAGCAATTATTCATATAATATGATAAACAAACAAATGTTCTATGCGCAAATGGTCCTAAACACGAAAGTAGAGAGTGTTTTCAATAGATATAAGTACTTTTGAAGCATGTCATTTGCTAGTTTGGTGATAAAGGGATTTTTAAAAAATGAAAAATTCTCACATGTCTGATTATATTCCTCTTTATAACAAAATTTGCCCGTTGTCATTTTGTATTTGATGTTTAAAAACCTTAGAATGTAACAGTCATCCTATGATGTTGACTGCTAAAAAATAATACTATTAATAGCACTCGTTGTAGTCATATGGCAAAGTCAACAGACCTGGTTCTGACTTTAGCTATTGTTAATCCAATCTAAATACTTCTCGGCATTTCTAACTATATTCTACCTTGTTTATTATTTACTTAAAAACGTAACCACCATTCAAAATATATTCATAAAGGCTAGAAAATGACATTATACTAGATTCGTTACGACATTCAACACGTTTCAGATCTTGTAATTTCTCGCAAGAATTCTACTTTGGTTTTTAGTTAAATTAACCAATCATAAAAATTCTACTTGCAAACGCAGAATTATTTCTTTATTGTCCAATCAATAGATGCCTTCCAATTTACTTTATTCTATTCTTAGTAACATTGTGTACTCGTAATATTATCGCCATCTGTCACGTACGAAGGGAAACAGAGTATTGTTTTGTACATTATCATAGATATATACTGAATTAAAAAATGTTTTAAATGAACCAAGTTAACCAGGTAAACAAATAACTACGGCCTTAGATAGTTTAAATTTCCATTAAAGAATTGTACATGTCTGAAAAAATTCCTGAAATTTTCCGCATGTAATTCCTTTTAGCAAGTATAGCGTGCGCACGAGTAATGACTCGCACCTACTGACAAGCTCTGTTTTATGTTTAAAATTGATACCATACAGTAAACGGTTACTAACCGGTTAATAGCTACAGCTATTCGAATAACAAAAAGTCCTAACCCGTAGGAGCACTACTGTTAAATCAAATTTCATTTTCTGTAAAGATCGCATAGATGTATTCACTGTTCATATAACCAGTGGTTGCTAGGTAAGATACGCCCACATTTTGCAAGAGATGGATTGAGAACAAGCTAAAAAAAAACCACTCCGATTTTTTGTACAATCAGGGGCCATCATCCAGGAAGTTATAGTCTGAAATGCGCGAATATCGAATTGGACTGAAATATTTGGGACATACAGATATATTTTAAGTTTCATCAAAATTGGATAAAAATTGTGACTTCTATAATACACCTTGGTATTACATACTTGTACACTATTTGCGTACAAGGGGAAGCCATTTTGTCCAGCAGTTTTGGACTAATTTTTACAAAATTCAAACTCATCCATCATAAAGGTGTAACGGTGAAATAATCAAACGATTTTTTTTTAAATCGGATAAAAAAGCTATCCAGCGGCTGCCAGGCAGGATACGCCCACATTTTGCAAGAGATGGTTAGAGAACAAGCTAAAAACAAATGTGATTTTCTGTACAATCAGAGGCAATAATCCAGAAAGTTTCGAAAAATCAGGGGCCATAATCCAGCAAGTTAAGTTCAGGTATCCACAATTACCAAAAGGAACCAAGATCTTAAGTGTGTAATGGTGATATATTCACACGTTTTTTTTTAAATCGGATAAAAATTATGACCCTACAAGCTAAAAACGTGATTTTTAGGTTAAATCAAGGGCCATAATTCAGAAAGTTACGACCCAATATGCGCGAATATCTTTGGGTTATAAATATGTATTTCAAGTTTCATCGAAATCGGATCAAAATTGTGACCTCTAGAGGGTCCACAACCTTGATTTACCAGATGTTTACACTATTTGCGTACAAGGGGTGGCCATTTTGTCCGGCAGTTTTGGCCCGATTTTCACGACATTCGAACTCAACAAACATTACGGTGATATATTCAAACGTTTTTTTTAAATCAAATAATAATTGTGACCTCTAGAGGGACCTCAAGCTAAAAACGCGATTTTGCGTACAATCAGAGGCCATAATTCATGATGTTATGATCCGATATGCGCGAATATTGAAAGGAACCAAGATCTTTGGGTTATAAACATACATTTCAAGTTTAAACCAAATCGGATAAAAATTGTGAACTATACAGTGTTCACATTTCAAGTTTCATCAAAATCAGATCAAAATTGTGGCTACAACTTTGATATACCAGATGTTTATACTATTTGCGTACGAGGGGCAACCATGATGTATGGCAGTTTTGGTCTGATTTTCATGAAATTCAAACTCAACCATCCTTAGGGTGATATATTCGAACATTTTTTTTAATAAATCGGATAATAAATGTGACCTCTAGCGGGACCACAAGCTAAAAACGCGATTTTTCGTACAATCAGGGGCCATAATTCAGGAAGTTATGATTCGATATGTAAGAAAATAAAGAGGAACTAAGATATCTGGTTTATAAACATGCATTTCAATTTTCATCAAAATCAGATGAAAATTGTGACCACTAGAGGGTCTACAACCCTGATACACAATATTTTGACACTATTTGAGAACGAGGGGCGGCCATTTTGTCTGTCAGTTTTGGTCCAATTTTTACAAAATTCGAACTCAACCATCCTTAGGGTGTAACGGTGATATATTGTAACAGTGTTTTAAATCGGATAAAAATTGTGACCTCTATGGGGTCCACAAGCTAAAAACGCGATTTTTCGTTCAGTCAGGGGCCATAATTCAGGAAGTTATGGTCCGTTATGTGCGAATATCAAAAGGAACCGAGATCTGTGGGTTATAAATATACATTTCAAGTTTAAACGAAATCGGATAAAAATTGTGACCTCTACAGTGTTCAAAAGCTAAAAACGTGATATTTCATACAATCAGGGGCCATAATCCATGAAGTTACAGTCTGATACATGCCAATATCGAAAGGAACCAAGATCTTAGGGTGATAAACCTATATTTCAAGTTTCATTGAAATCAGAAAAAAATTGTGACCTGTAGAGTGTTCACAAACAATTGTGGACGGACGGACAGGGGCGACGACAATATACGTCTACATGAAAATATGGGCGTATAAAGACACAATTTTTTTTTACAATCAAGGGCCATAATTCAGGAGGTTACGATCCGATATGCGCGAGTATCGAAAGGAACCAAGATCTTTGGGTTATAAACATCCATATCAAGTTTCAAGGCATATACTGGCCTGCCTTTGTTTTTGTATGCTGTAAGCAATTGCCATGTTTTTTCTACAAATTGAAAACAATTATGGTGATTATTTAGGGCGTTAACTTTTTTTAAAAATTATTTCTGTAGTTTTGTAATCCGAGTTCGCTTTAACATAAGAAGAAAAAGCTCATCTTTGAACTCCATTAAGGCATTCACATTATAACACCTACACCAAGTTTGAACATTGTTTGCCAAAGTCTCGAACATGCCCATCATCAAACTTAGTCAAGGTATTGATGTAATGAAACTATGCACAAAGTTTCACCACTCTCACTCAATTAGAATCAAAGTTATCGAGCTCCGAAGTCTTGACAAATCAAATTGTTTATCGCTCTGGTTAACCTGAGCAGAAAATGCTTATTATTGAACTCAGTCAAGGCATTGATATCATGAAACTATACACCAAGTTTCATCACTCTCACTTAATTAGAAAAAAAGTTATCTTGTCCCAAAGCATAAACCAATCAAGTTGCTTATCTCTGCTTACCCTAAGCAGAAAATCCTCATCTTCGAACTCCATCAAGGCACTGACCTAATAATTAAACACCTACACCAAGTTTGAACATTCTAGCTCAATTAGAAGGAGAGTTATTGTGTCCTAAAAAAAAAGTGTGACGGACAGATCCATTTTAATAGTCCCCTGCTTTCTTCAAAAGGCTGGTAACAATTAGAGTGGAAATATCGTATGGTGAAAGACCCGCAATCACAATTCATATGTAATAATTTGCTTTTACACTGCTCTTGATTTTAGCCACAATAGGAAATAAATAGGAATTATGTAAAATACATACTTTGTGACAATGACTCTTCTGGTGTTTGAAGACATGTTCTAATGTAGGTGGCAATCCTATTAGCTTGTTCTCTTCTTGTACAATAAATAATAATGGAATGACAAGAAGCAAATCTTTCCCCTTGCAGAAGATTAATGAGTGCCTGAAAAAAAAAATGTAGTCTTTGGGTTTATTTCTCTCTTGGTAACTAAGAAATTAAATGAACATGTTTATAAATAGTTGGTGACAATGTCAATTTAAATTATATTCCACTATATGCCCTTTGGGCATTCTCGGATTTATATTGCATGTTCTTGTTTGTTTCCGTAAACCATGCCAAGTCGCTTAAACTATTTAAAGACAAAAAACATAACGTGTAATGCACGTGCCTGCTGTCATAGCAATGACACTATACTATATAAAGGCAACTGTCACCTTACACAATTGTCTTTTTTTTGTTTGACTAAGACCATGTAGTCGTCTCTTTGTTTTTGCACTTTACTTTTGTAGAAATCGTTGAATTCTTACTTTCTAATTGTACGATCGCTCTCTTTTGAGACTTCGATCTTTTTGATCTAGTAGTCCCGCTGGTTCTACTTTGGTTTTGTTTTGTCGTAGTCTCTAGTGTCAAGCCGCTGGCTCGCACAATGGATCTCATTGATCCCTTTGAAGGGAGCGATCTTGATTACCAAACAGCTGAGATGCCGTTTGAAGATGATGAGATTATGAATATAGATTCTAATTTAATTGGCGAAGTCCCTTTTCAAATGTTGGTTTAAATACTATTAATAATAATACTTCCGATAATGTTAATAATGATGTTGGTTTAAAAACTATTTATAATAATACTTCCTATAATGTTAATAATGATGACCGACCTTCTATCACTGAGGTGAATTTGGGTTGAAAACATAAATCAAATCTTTGTAAATCCAAGAAACCCAGTAAATGCTGAAAGTTAACTTTTGCCAAGGGTGTAGACCCTGATATGCCTGATTTAGAACCTATAGGTCTGTTAAAATGTTCTGGGAAAAAATCTACTCATGTAAATAAGGCCAGTTTAAAAAGTGACACTTCTGGCAATGAGCTGTCTTCAAATAATAATAGGGCTAATAGCAATAAGCCCCCAACTGCAAGGAAAACAAATTCTAAGGTCGCTTTGTCCAAAGCCCCTGCTTCCTTTTTTGATATTATACCGGCATGTAATCAAAATGTTGAAGGCACATCATTTAAACGACCTTCTGGTCCGTCTTCTACTTTTATTCCGAATCATAGTTTTAATGCTGGAAATATAAATGAGGATAACAGTGTACCGGTTGATCGCACTGATTTAGTTTTATTGCGGCAACAAATGAATCTGATGACAAATTTAGTCTGGTCAAATAGTAATTTTATAAAGTCGGATCAATTAAATCATAAGCCTGCTAATGTCAATAATCTCCAAGTAGAACAGTATACATGTAGCAAAGAATCGGTTAACATTGATGAAACGGTAACCCTGTTTGATGATGAAGACAATTTTGATAACAAGCCAGTCTTGGATATCATGGACCCCCAAGAAATGTATGATGAATTCAGGGTTGGAAACGATAATTCCTCGGAATATGATTTTGACATTCCCAAAATTTTCCATGGGGATGATATCTTTGGAAATCCAGTTTCTGAGAACATAGTAAACTTAGTCAATGTTTCTACTCTGAAAAAAGTTGAGATCGATAAACTGGTGTCAAAATACCCCATTTCAGAGAACTGTCAAAGGTTAAATGCACCTATGACTGATCCTGATATATGGCATATTTTACCCAGGAATGCACGGGCACAGGATCACTCTCTCCAAGAAATTCAAAAGCTTGTCGGCTTGGGCATCTCACCCCTACAAGATTTATTGTCTAAATCTCTGGAAGGGGATGTTAAGAATACTATTATTGATTCTATAGTGACATTAGGTAAAATCATGCTTGATCTTTAGTTAAAAAGAAGGCTATATATGAAACGATTTATGGCAAAGAAATTCTATCCTTTATGCTCATCGAATAGACCTGTTAGGGAAACTTTATTTAGGCCAGACGTTTCCAATCGTATACGTGAGATCGAGCAATCGCACTGTTTACACGCTCATCGTTTCTCTAACATGAGGAATAATTGACAATCTTTTTTAGGGTCCGGCCAGTTTTACAGGCAACCAAGAGCAGATCAACGTCGAGGAAGCCCGAGGAATCGAAGCGCCTGGAGAGGCAGGAATCGGGGCCGATACCCTCGCCAACCGGATTTTTACCACCAGCAGCCATTAGGCCTACCAGCCCAGCAGCAACAGTAAATGTTAATACATTATCTAACAGTTTAAATGGTCTTCGTATACGACCTCCTGCAGTAAATTTTATACTGACAACCGACGCTTCACTTTTAGGTTGGGACGCACACTCGGAAACAAATAAAAGTAATGGTTTATGGAGTTCAGAGGAAGTCTACTATCACATTAATTATTTAGAGATACGAGCTGTCCTGATGTACGCAACAAACATATCTGTATTCAGTGTGACAATACTACAGCCATATCATACATTAATAGTCTGGGGGGCTCCGTGGACGCTTTATTTGATTTGAATATGGTTATGGTGTAGTGATCTAGGTATTTTTCTGTCCCAAAAATACATTCCTGGCAAAAGTAATATCTTGGCTGACCAATTATCACTTGATTTTTCAGATTCAACAGAATGGAAATTAAACGAATTTGTCTTCCAGAAAATTTGTAATAGGCTTTTCATGCCAGATATTGATTTATTTGCATCAAAATTTAATGCTCAATTAATTACCAGTTTACGCATCATGGAACCCAGATCCCTGTAGTTTTACTACTAATGCTTTTACTGTAAGTTGGTCAATTTTTGAGCCTTATCTTTTTCCACCTTTCAGTTCAATTCCAAATGTTTTGTCGAAGGTTTCCGGAAATCAAGTGGAAAAGGCAATTATAATAGTTACGGCTTGGGAAATACAGGTATGGTACCCTGTTCTTCTGACCATGTTAATATCTCACCCATTACGTCTTCCTGCAAGGAAAGATCTTTTGTGATTACCAGTAAGCAACACCTTACACCCTCTAGGGGAGAAGAGATTATATTTAACCGCTTGCCTTATATCTGGCAATTCCTCTCTAATACGGGATTATCAAGCGAATCTATCGCAAGTATCCTGGTATCCTGGAAACCAGGAACTTGTAGGCAATACAATCTCGCATGGACAAATAAACAACAAGTTGATCCCTTCCATCCATCTTTAGCCCATTTTAACAATTATCTAGAGTTTTTGTTCAGAGTCTCTTCTTACAGTGTAGTTAATACTAACAGATCCGCGATCATCCAAACTTTAATATTGTTGGGTTTTGATAAACTCAAAGATCAGCCGTTGGTTGGTCGTTTCATGAAAGGCTTATTTAATAGAAAACCTCCAAAGCCCAGGTATTTATTCACTTGGGACGTCTCTGTGCTTATCAAATATCTAGCAACCTTATTTCCATTAGAGAGTCTTTCACTAAAACTTTTAACCCTCAAAACGGTAAGTTTGTCGGCACTCTCTACCGCACAGCGGTGTCAGACTCTTTGCTCTTTCGACCTAAATGCTTAAGATGATTCTAGAAGAGTTCTAATGCTTGGAATTTCTAAGGTAATTAAAACTTCTCGGCAGTCAAAACCACTTTATTCCTTAAATTGCCATATTACAAGAATAAGAAAATTTGTCCTTGTTATACCCTAAAAGATTATATTAGATGAAAAGAAAATATCAGCAATTATTTGTTTCTTTCTTAACTTTTACAGCTGTCACTCCTGGCACTATAGGCAGGTGGATTAAAGAAACTTTGAAATTATCTGGTGTAGACACGGATAAATTTAAAGCCCATTCCATAAGGTCGGCATCTTCTTCGGCAGCCTTTAACTCTGGTTGTCCTATTTCAGATATTCTCAAGACATCTAATTGGTCAAACCTGGAGCTAGTGTTTCCAGAAATTTTGTGTTTTGTGTTAAATAAAAAATAATTATGATTTTTAGTGTCTTTATTTGTTGACAATCCTTTAAACAATGCAATATAAATCCGAGAATGCCCGAAGGGCATATAGTGGAATATAATCCCCCCTCTCATCCTAGCGCCCGAAGGTTCAAAGGATGAGATGGATTATATGAATATATACAGCCCGAGGGCTCGAAGATTTATTTTCCCTCAACAAAAAGTTTTTAAAAAGACAATTGCCTTTATATAGTATAGTGTCATTGCTATGACAGCAGGCATATGCATTACACGTTATGTTTTTTGTCTTTAAATAGTTTGAGCGACTTGGCATGGTTTACGGAAACAAACGAGAACATGCAATATAAATCCTCGAGCCCTCAGGCTATATATATTCATATAATACATATCATCCTTAGCGCCGAAGGGCGCTAGGATGAGAGGGTGATTTACACATCCAAATGTTTGTAAACATCTTTCAAAGCAAATTTCAACAATTCTAGGGAAATATTGTCTCCTTCATAGTGGTGATATTGTATTGTCATCAATAGGGTTGATTCTCAGGACCTGTCAAATAATACTAGCAAGTCTGAAATAAAAATCTTACAAACTCTTACCTGTAAAACATTTAAAAATTATTATGACAAGAGCAATAACTTTGCCAATAATGAAAGACTCTGAATTTTGACAGGGCTCATCATTATTACTAGTGGACATATAAAGTGTAAATGCAAGTTACAAATTTGTAGAAATGTCTTTAAACAAAATAACTCAGAACTCTATAACTACCACTCAACCCGATTACCGTTGGTAATAGGCTGGATTGATTAGGTAATTAAGTGATCAATGTATTTATCATATTTAATTCCCGTATGGTTATGGTATTCAAATGTATGTCAGTAATATTCCTATACAGAATTACGTCTTTTTGTAATACGTCTGTCCATTGATTTAGGGTATGATATACTTTTACAAAATGTTTCATCTATGACTAGTTTATAGATGCTGTCAGCTCACATCAATGCGACTAAAATGTCCGACAATGGAGAAACCACAAGGTAAACATATAGATTAAAATTATAATCACTCTTATTGGATTGATGAATAGCCCGACAAAGGGTAAGCAATGACTTCTGTTTAAGATTAGATTGATTAATCAAGGTAGGTGTATAGACGGTATAACTCTTACGCACGGATTTGAATATTTTGGTGACATTTTATAAAGAAACCAGCGCCTGCCAGGCAGGATACGCCCACATTTTCGAGAGATGGATAGAGAACAAGCTAAACAGAAAGTGATTTTTCCTACAATCAAGGAACTGAGATCTTTGGGTTATAAACCTACATTTCAAGTTTCACTAATATCGGATAAAAATTTGAACTCAGCTACCCTTAGGGTGTAACGGTGATATACCAAAACGTTTTTTTTAAATCGGATAAAAATTATGACCTCTATAGGGTCCACAAGCTAAAAACGTGATTTTTGTACAATAAGGGGCCATAATTCAGGAAGTTACGGTCTGATATGCACGAATATCGACAGGAACCGAGATCTTTGGGTTATAAACTTATATTTCAAGTTTTAACAAAATCGGATAAAAATTGTGACCTCTATACCTTGATATACCATATTTTTACGCTATTTGAGAATGAAGGGCGGCCATTTTGTCTGTCAGTTTTGGGCTGAAATTTGAACTCAGCCGTCCTTAGGGTGTAACGGTCATATAATAATACGTTCTTTTAAATCGGATAAAAATTATAACCTCTATAGGGTCCACAAGCTAAAAATGCGATTTTTCGTACAATCAGGGGCCATAATTCAGGAAGTTACAGTCCGATATGCGCGAATATCGAAAGGAACCAAGATCTTTGGGTTATAAACTTACATTTCAAGTTTCATAAAAATCAAAAGAACATTGTGCATCTAGAAGGTCCACAACATTGATATACCATATTTTTACACTATTTTAGTACGAGGGGTGGCCATTTTGTCTTTCAGCTTTGGTCCGATATTTACGAAATTCAAACTCAACTATCCTTAGGGTGTAATGGTGATATAGTCAAACGGTTTTTTAAATCGGATAAAAATTATGACCTCTATAGGGTAAAGCTAAAAATGCGATTTTTTGTACAATCAGGGGCCATAATTCAGGAAGTTACGGCAGATATGCCCGAATATCGAAAGGAAACGAGATCTTTGGGATATAAACTTACATTTCCAATTTCAACAAAATAGGATCTAAATTGTGACCTCTATTGGGTCCACAACCTTGATGTACCATATTTTTACGCTATTTGAGAACGAGGGGCGGCCATTTTGTCTGTCAGTTTTGGGCTGATTTTCACGAAATTCATACTTAGCCGTCCTTATGGTGTAATGGTGATATATTAAAACGATTTTTTAAATCGGATAAAAATTATGATGTCTATAGGGTCCACGAGCTAAAAACGTGATTTTTCGTACAATCAGGGGCCATAATTCAGGAAGTTACGGTCTGATATGCGCGAATATCGAAAGGAACCAAGATAATTGGCTTATAAACATGCATTTCAAGTTTCATCAAAATCGGATCAAAATTGTGACCTCTTAGATTATCCACAAGCTAAAAACGCGATTTTTCGTACAATCAGGGTCCATAATATCGAAAGGAACCAAGATCTTAGGGAGATAAAGCTATATTTCAAGTTTCGTTGTAATCGGATAAAAATTGTGACCTGTAGAGTGTCCACAAACAAATTATGGACGGACGTCCGGATGAACGAACGGACAAACAGAGGCGACGACAATATACGTCCACATGAAAATGTGGGCGTATAAAAAAACCTCTGATTTGTAGCGTGTTTAAATTATATACATTGGGCACATAAAAAGATGAATGAAAGTCTTCTGTAGACTTAGGGCCTCTTAATGTTTGACGAATAGCTTCTTTCAACAGTCAATAACCTTTTTTATTTTGCAGTATTATATTTGGATTATTTTTTATCAGTTATTTTCACTTCAGGGCCATACAGAAGTTTAAGTTGCTATTACCTCATCTTTGTTGATATCTCTAGACACAGTTAGCAGCAAGTTTTTAGGAACAGGTGAGCCTCGGATGATAGCATCTTCATCATCTTCTATACCCAGGTGTTTAGCAACATCGGCAGCAGTAGATTTAGTAGCAGTAGCAGTCAACCCAAGAAAACATTTCACGCCATATACTTCTCTGAGAACCTTCAAAACAAGTGATTCTTTTGGTAAATCTTGTATGAGAAATAATTAATAAATTCTATGAGATAAGGTGGCTATATGAAGACCTGGTTATCCCAAATGTCTGAAGAGTTTAATACGAACGAAACTAGTCACCGACATTCGGGATAACCAGGTCTTCATAGCCACCTTATCTCTTATATTATCTCACTCTCCACTTACGATCTCGTTATGGCAAATTTTGTTGATCAAATCGATCGGTCGTGATTCCTTCTTTTGCCTCAGAATCAACCACCACTTTGACGAAAGATATTTTCTCGGCTAAAACAATCCCTGCACCAAGTTTATGTCATAGTTTATCTATTTATTTTATACTTTTATATTATTAATTGTGTGTATCAGTATGATATTCAAATGTTTTCTATCATATAGCATATCTAAAAATTGAGTCCCAGAAAAACATTTAACTATCGATGACAGCCAAGCCAACAGTGAGGCTGATGTCCCCCGCCAATATTTAAAAAAAAAACAGCGGCTGCCAGACAGGATATGCCCACATTTTGCAAGAGATGGAAAGAGAACAAACTCAAAACAAAAACGATTTTTTGTACAAACTGGAGCCATAATCCAGAAAGTTCAATTTTCCCGAAATTCCAATTCAACCTTCATTTTGGTGGAATGGTGATATATCTAAATGGTTTTTAAAATATGAAAAAAGAATTGTGACCTCTAGAGAATCCACAAGCTAAAAATGCAATTTTTTGACCAATCAGGGGCCATATTCCAGGAAGTTATGTTCGGATATGTGTGATTATCAAAAGGAACCAAGATCTTCATGATAAAAACATATATTTAGAGTTTCATCCAAATCGGACAAAAATTGTGGTCCACAACTTGATATACCATATTGTTACACTATTTGCGTACAAGGGGCAGCAATTATGTTTGTCAGTTTTTGTCCGATCCTTGATATACCATATATTTACACTATTTGTGTGCAAGAGGCGGCCATTTTGTCTGGCAGTTTTAGTCCGATTTCCACGAAATTCGAACTCAGCGATCATAAAGGTGTATCAGTGATATATTCAAACGTTTTTTTAAATCGGTAAATAATTGGGACCTCTAGAGGGACCACAAGCTAAAAACACGATTTTTCGTACAATCAGGGGCCATAATTCAGGAAGTTACGATCCGTTACGTGCGAATATCGAAAGGAACCAAGATCTTTGGGTTATAAACATGCCTTTCAAGTTTCATCAAAATCGGCACAAAAGTTGACTTCCACAACCTTATTATACCAGATGTTTACACTATTTGCTACAAGGGGCGGCCATTTTGTCAGGCAGTTTAGGTCCGATTCTCACAACCTTCATTACGGTGTAACGGCGATATATTCAAACAGTGTTTTAAATCGGATCATAATTGTCACCTCTAGAGCGACCCCAACCTAAAAATGCCATTTTTTGTACAATCAGGGGCCATAATTCAGGAAGTTACGATCCAATATGCATGAATATCGAAAGCAACCAAGATCTTTGGATTATAAACATGCATTTCAAGTTTCATCAAAATCGGATTAAAATTGTGACCTCTACAGGGTCCACAACATTGACATACCATATTTTTATGCTATTTGACTACGAGGTGTGGCCATTTTGTCTGTCAGTTTTGGTTCGATTTTTTACGAAATTCGAACTCAACCATCCTTAGGGTATAACGGTGATATATTCAAACGTTTTTTTTAAATCGGATAAGAATTATGACCACTATAGGGTCCACAAGCTAAAAACGCGATTTTTCGTACAATCAGGGGCCATAATTCAGGAAGTTACAATGTGATATGCACGAATATCGAAAGGAACCGAAATCTTTGGGTTATAAACTTACATTCCAAGTTCCATCAAAATCAGAAGAAAATTGTGACCTCCAGAGGATCCACAACCTTGATATACCATATTTTTACGCTATTTGAGAACGAGGGGCGGCCATTTTGTCTGTCAGTTTTGGGCCGATTTTCACAAAAATCGAACTCAACCACCCTCAGGGTATAACGGGGATATATTAAAACGTTTTTTAAATTGGATAAAAATTATGACCTCTATAGGTACAATCAGGGGCCATAATTCAGAAAGTTACGGTCCGATATGCGCGAATATCGAAAGGAACTGAGATCTTTGGGTTATAAACTTACATTTCATGTTTCAACAAAATCGGATAAAAATTGTGACCTCTATAGGGTCCACAACCTTGATATACCATATTTTTACACTATTTGAGAATGATGGGCGGCCATTTTGTTAATCAGTTTTGGGCCGATTTTCACGAAATTCGAACTCTATCAGTTTTGGTTCGATTTTTACGGAACTGAGATCTTTGGGTTATAAACTTACATTTCAAGTTTCAACAAAACCGGATAAAAATTGTTACCTCTATAGGGTCCACAAGCTAAAAACGTGATTTTTCGTATAATGAGGGGCCATAATCCATGAAGTTACGATCCAATACATGCCAATATCGAAAGGAACCGAGATTTTAGGGAGATAAACCTATATTTCAAGTTTCGTTGAAATCCGATAAAAATTGTGACCTGTAGAGTGTCCACAAACAAATTGTGGACGGACGGACAGGGGCGACAGCATAATACATCCTCATCAAAATGTGGGCGTATAAAAACGTTTTTGTAAATCAGATAAAAATTGTCACATCTAGCGGGACCACAAGCTAAAAACGTGATTTTTCGTACAATCAGGAGCCATAATTCAGGAAGTTACGATCCGATATGCGCGAATATCGAAAGGAAACAAGATATCTATGTTATAAACATGCATTTCAAGTTTCATCAAAATCGGATCAAAATTGTGACCTCTAGAGTGTCCACAAGCTAAAAACGTGATTTTTCGTACAATCAGGGGCCATAATCCATGAAGTTATGGTTCGATACATGCCAATATCAAGAGGAACCAAGATCTTTCAAGTTTCGTCAAAATTGGATAAAAATTGTGACAATATACGTCCACATGAATATGTGGGCGTATAGAAAACAGATGACACACATTTATTAATTGTACATTTATCTTTTTCAAAAGTATTGAGTAATCGAACTGATTATCTATGCTCAGTCTAAGCATAAAATGTTGATTATCAAACTCAAGTTTTGAAGTAGCTGGTAGTGAGTGAAACTATACACTAAGTTTCATCACTCTCCATCAGTTAGAATCAAAGTTATCTTATCCCAAAGAATCAACAAAAGAAATTGCTTAGCTCTGCTTAGCTTTAATGGGAAGTATTAATCATTGAACTCAGTCAAGATATTCGCCTAATGAACATCCATACCTCAATTAAAAGCAGAATTGTTATGTTCCAAAGTCTTGACCAATCAAATTGCTTATTGCAAGATCTTGGTTCCATTCGATTTTCGTGCATATCAGATCTGGTTTCCGTGGGAATCAGAATATCATGTTTAACACATGATTGGAAAAATTCCTATTGCATCAATTGGCTTACCATCCAGTCATATCAGTAATTGCACAGATTCAGAGTCGTGAATAGCCTGGTCCATGTGCGATGTCCATATGGGTCCTATAAAAGAGACATGGCAAACCTTTTAAGTTTAGTTTGTGGGTCCGCTCTCCATGTCTGACAGACGACCCATGTTGCTACAACCAGTCCAAAGCAGGACTTTCTTAGCACTTTGTACAGAACTAAATGTTTATCATAAGTTTCTATTTGCCCCACATGGTTTGTGTTCTCGATTTATTGCCACTTTGTGCAGTTGGACTTCTGCAGTAGTCCAAGTTTAGATTTTTGTTGTAGATTGGACTACTAATTCAAGGATTATTCTATCTATCTATATAAATAAAATCAAATTGTATGTATGTATGTATTGCCCATCACGCCTCGTCACTGCCCTCCACCGCCACATACTGATAATCAAATAATAAAGCCAACAAAAATGTTATGTTAACGAATCCGTATAGCAATATTTATGTTGTTACAAAATTATGTTCCTTTTTTTACCAATTTGCTAAATTATTGACCATACCATTTATAAGAGGCATCTTTTGGTTTTGCACAATTCACATCTCCTTATCTTACGGCTTAGGCAAGAATAGTATTGTTGAGTTGCTTATTAACTGCTTATAGTTACTGAATTTTAGAATTTTTTTTACTAGCTTTCCATAATGTTTTGTATAAAATAGTCTTGTTTATCTAGGCCTGTTAATCAGAGGGAGAATATAAGTAGATTCATTTTACGCTCCTATTTCAAACCAAGAACATGTGACATAATTTGCGCTTTGTGGTGTCCGCGTGTTGTTTACGATTGCAATCTATTTTAATTGCACTTTAAATGGTTATAACTATTAAATGCAAAATGGCTGTTTATTTAGTGACGATAATTAAAGATAAACTTAGTGAATTTTGTGTCACAATTAACAAAATATTTGGCAGGTCACCCATCAGTGAATACAAAAATAATTTGTATCAAAGCAGGGCTTCCCTTCACTATTTTCACTACAGGTATATTCTGATAATGCACGTAAACTTTGCAAATGAAATGCATATCCTGTTTTCAAAACTTGTATAATTTCTTATATTAGTAAGCAAGTTTTAGCAATGTCAAGCAATTAGTTTAGGATATTACAAGACCATACTTCCTTATACAATTTTTATCTGTATTTTACTCCTGGCATGTTGTAAAGGATTGAAGTAATTTCTGTCCTATTTTCTAATAATGATAGTTAGATTCAACAAGCAGTTCTTTGAATCAGATTGCCTTTATTTTCCAAGATTAAATTCTTCTGTCGATCAATAAGACTCTCAGATAATACAGATCATCGAACTCTGTATAGGACCTACACTAGAGGAATTCGCCTAATAAACACCTACACCAAGTTTGAATATTCTAGCTCAATTAGAAACAGTTATATTGTGACCTTAACAGTCTGACAGACAGACCCATTTTTACAGTCCACTGCTTTCTTCGATAGTGGCAGGCAGAAAGACACAGTTCAGAACCTAGTATTACTAGTATTACTATCAGGATATCAGGGTTAAGAATGTTTCCATTACTAGTGCTAAAACATATCCAATCAGCCGTTTAGTTTATGTCATAGCAATGTAATTGAACAAAAGGCAAATTATCCCATCAATCAACCTATTTATTAATTTTCGTTTTGTGCATAATCTAGAAACCAATTCATATAACATATTCCCGTTAGTAATACACAAGAACTTGTTATTGATAATGACTTAGCAGGTGGGTTACTGCAAATTGCCATAATACTAAATGTTTCATTTGCAGTAAGTGAGTTAATAGAATGGCAATAAAAAAACAAAAACATATCTGGTGAAAGGTGACTTTCTGTATAGTTATGTTAGCTAAAATATAAAATGTTTAAATCTCGTTTACATTTTCTGATTTCACACTACATTGAACATTGTAAATATTCTGAACTATTTTCTATAAAATCCCTGTTCTGCAAGAAATTGTTCTATACCAACCAGACTTACAAACTTATCCCAAAACTCATTGGAAACACTCTTATACACGTCAAGTTTTAAAATCGTGATTCTTTATGTAAATGAGCAAAACTTTTTTCTACTGATTCACTTCACAAGATTACGATGTGGGCAAGATCAATGACCCTATAATGTTTGCAATTGTTACAATTGGGTAAGCTTATATGAAACGTCTTATTAATAAAAAGAAAGTATATAAATTTCAAGATGTGATGATAATATTTGGCACTATAGAATTCACAAGATTATACAAAATGATCAATAGCCAAGTAACAAGCAAACAATGATGTCACTGTCCCTCGTCATGATCCAAAATCAAATATATGAAACTCATTAATTACTTTAAAATGTATCATTTACAAAGCATCTACATGTATATAGAGCAATCAAACCAATCTGCTTATCCTATGCAGAAAATGCTCTTTATCGAACTTAGTCAATGTATTGATGTTTTAAACCTACCGGTATATATATCAAATTTCATTAGTCAATTAGAAATAGAGTAATTGTGTTCTAAGTCTTGGACAATCAAATTGCATATTTTGTATGCTAAGCAGAAAATGTTCATCATCAATCTCTCATTGAAATATTCTCATCAATTAATATTTTTTAAGAAGAAGATGTTTATAAGTTGTTAGAACTTTTAATTAATCCTTTTGTATTGTACAATGAAATGTTGATGCAATAAAATAAGTTTAAACTAATCAATCTCGGTCAAAAACATTCATCTGACGTACATCTGCACCAAGTTTCAAAATTCTAACCCAATCAGACACACAGTTGTTGTGTTCTAAAAGGTGCTGATTTACGATTTCAGTCATGACATTATAATAATAATAATAATAAAAACTTTATTTAATGAGGCAACGTATTTAGTTTGCAAAAAAAACAACTAATCTTCCATAGGTCCCTCCTAAACTACAAAGACATATATACATGTAATATCAGGATAAATTTAAAATCATTAGAAATGCAATAGCATTTTAAAGTGGGAAGTTTGATAAGTCACTCCCAAACTACAAAACATATACATTATACAAGTAGAATATAGGAAGAACACTATAATTACACACAAAATAAAATAGAATGCAGTTGCAAGTTAAAAATAATAAGTATGTCATCAGTTGAATATTATGGTTCCTTCAGTGTGCAAAATAAATGAGTTTTCAGTTTAATCTTAAAATTTTCAACTTTTTTACACATCTTTATATCAAAAGGCAGATTGTTCCATAAAAGACATGCAGAATAATGAAAAGTACGTTTCATGGATTCCGTTTTGCATTTTTGAAGAAAAAGAGATTTACTGGTCTGTGAACGGAGCAAGATATCCGTTTTAGAAACAAGAGATTTTTCAATAAAATGGAAATTTAGATAAAGTGGAGTATTAAATGTAATAATTTTGAATGATAAGACAATTTTATTGTAAAGAATCCTCTGTGTAAGGGTAAGCCAACCGAGTTTAGTAAATAAAGAGGTGGACGGAGTTTCAATCGGTGCATCAAGAATAGCTCTTGCTGCCCTCTTTTGTAATTTTAAAAGAATGTCTAATCTACTTTTGGTAGCATAGATTTTGCAGTTATTCAGAAAGTAATTACCAGAAATCAGTAAAATTCAAGTTAATTTAGTTTGTAATTTCCATCATCAAAATCGGACCAAAACTGTGACCTCTAAAAGGTCCACAACCTTCGAATTACATACTTTTACACTATTTGCGTACAAGAAGCGGTCATATTGACGGGCAATTTTGTTCCGATTTTCCAAAATTAAAACTCAACCATTATTATGGTGTAATGGTGATATATTTAAACTTTTTTTTATAATTGGATAAACATTGTGACATGACTAAGCTAAAATGTGATGTTTCGTACAATCAGGGGCCATAATCCAGGAAGTTATGGTCTGATATTTGAGAATATTGAAAGGAAGCAAGATCTTTGGGTAAAAATAACATTGGTATTACATACTTTTACACTATTTGTGTACAGGAAGCGGCCATGTTGTCTGGCAGTTTTGGTGCGATCTTCACGAAATTTAAACTCAAATCATTATGGTGTAACGGTGATGGGGAGTTGGATGGCTGAATGGTTAGCGCATGCGCGCTTTATCATAAGGTCTGTCATTGACTCAACTGCCGTGGTTTCGATTCCCCGGTTGTATGTGACAAGGAATAGGGTGTCTGTCCAACCTCATGGGTTTTCTTCGGTCATTCCGGTTTCCTCCCACTGCTAAAGACCCCTACGCACAAGTGAATTATTGAAATAAGGTTGAACCATGTGTTTCGTCCGAAATGACTGGGTTTATGTCGAGTGGGCGTTAAAACCCATTTCTCTCTTTCTCTCTCTGCAATGGTGATATATTCAAACATTTTTTTCGACGTTAAAAATTGTGCCTTCTAGAGGGACCACAACCTAAAACATGATTTTTTTCGTACAATACGGGGCCATAAACCAGGAAGTTGCAGTCTGATATGAATGAATATCGAAATCGAAAGGAACCGAGATCTTTGGTTATAAATATACATTTCAAGTTTTATCACAATCATACAAAAATTATGACCTCTAGAGTGTCCACTGTCCACAAGCTAAAAGCATGATTTTTCATACAATTGGGGGCCATAATCCATGAAGTTACTGTATGATATATGCAAATATCGACAGGAACCAAGATCTTTGGAATATAAACCTATATTTCAAGTTTCATCAAAATCGAATAAAAAAAAGACCTGTAGAGTGTCCACAAACAAATTGTGGACGGATGAATGGACATTCGGACGGACAGGGGTGATGACAATATACGTCCACATGAAAATGTGAGAAACTTCCAATTCATAGAAACAGGTAACACAAACCAATTTTGTATTTAGTTTTTCATCTCTGAAGAAGTTAGTATTTTTACTAACGAAACGTTGGATAAAACAATGGTTTCTATTCTATGATGTATTCTATTAATTATTGTATATCTCATGAAAATGTGGGCATATAAAAAGGTAATTTACAGAAATTGTTGAAATTTGACAGACCTTTTCCTTTTACTAAATAATGCATATAAGTTTCATACAGATCAGATGACAACTTCTGTCATTCGTGTGTTCAGAAGGTTCAACAAACTAAAACAAGTGCCATAACTCTAGACATAATTAACAGAAATTGTTGAAATTCAATAGGGTCCTTCGGTTCACTAATTTATATAATGCATATAAATTTCATATAGATCAGATGATAAGTTTTGTCGTTAGAGCATTTACAAGGTTCAACAAATTTGACTCTTTGCTAATCTTACTACTATTATAAAAATGCATAGAGATTTGAAAACTAAATTTTTAGGCTCTTGAGCGATGCACTGACAGGCAGGGGCAACATAAATATATGAGCACATTACAATGTGTGCACATCAAAAGTTAACATGACATATCATACAGAGACCATGTGATAAATCCTTAGGTTTTATGGTATACAATATTTACCTTACAAAGACGAAGATAGGATGGTCGAAAATTATGTGACCATTCTGAGAGACAATGTGCTTCATCAATACAGACAAATGATATAGGGGGTAATTTGTCTGGACCAGGAAATGAACCATAAGTAGACCAAGCACCTCCAACAACTGTTTCTGGAGAGACCAAAAGAAAATGGAAATACCCTTCTGCTATAGAATTAAAGACTCCATCTTTTTGTACTTTAGTCATGTTTGCATGTATACAGGCACCTTTAACTCCAGGAGGTAGACCGGTTATCTGTAATAATATAGCATTATTCTCTTAAGTTTGTAAAATTCTCTTGCTACATGGACATGCATATCATCTCTTATATATAGACCTGAGCTTGACAGATAATCCCAACATGTTTTTAACTTTAAACCGAAGTAACATTCATATACGTCTACATCAAATCTGGGTATACAGAAAAAAAAGAGGTTGATTTCAATATATATGTGTTAATTATAGTTTGCAATGTAAAATAGAAATGCTACGATCAAATTCTAATTTCTTATAACAATGTTTGAGAACCACATTTACACTGACAAGAAACACAGTGTCTGTCAAACCCTAGTAATGATGTGGGAAAATTAATAACAAATGTTTAAGATCTTACTTGATCCTCCATCAATGAAACTAGTGGCGATACAACTAATGTTAAACATGGTGACTTCTGAGCATAGAGAAAGGCTGGTAGTTGATAACATAAACTTTTCCCCTCACCAGTTGATAACACTACTAAGGTTGAAAGACCTAAATTACAAAAAAAAAGTTGATTTAGAAAAATAGTTGATCCATTTTTCTCAAGGAATTTTCATATTGCTAAAAAATTAATTTCACTAAGCTTAGATGAAATGCTGTAAATTACTCAATATTGTTCGTTCTTGTTAGTCAGAAAAAGGACAGAAAAACTAGATCAAAATCTTGAGAGAGGTACCACCGTAGTATGGACCAGGAACAGAGTTATGACGTCACCCAGCCATCTTGGAAATATGACATAATAAATCGAAGCCTGTCAATCAATGCACAATTGTCCAAGGAACAAACAAACAAGTTTCATGTTGATGGTTCATGAAATTGGAGGGGGCCTTATGCTTGTTTCGAAGAGTGTCATTCCCTAGAACAATAACAAGAACTGCAAGATGAGTAGTCGTTGGGGACCCGTTGCTGGTCCAAAAATTCAGAAGTATTATCCAGAATAAGTGTGGTCATTTATTGATAAAGAGAATCAATTAAATAATTTCATTTGGGCAATAAGAGGGGGGAATATTTTCCCCAACTGGACACCAGGTTTTATATCCCATCCTTAAGCACACTTTCCTTGTTGGCCCTGTAGTCACAATCACACACTTATCCATCGCGGCCTCCGGTCAATTCAAAAACTCTCTACATTATTACAAATCAGAAATGTACAAAGTTTTGAAATTATTCCTTGTTTTGCTTATCATATTTTCAAAATACCACAAACCACACAATATTCTCTTCATAGCTGCCTCCTGTCCAGGTCGAAAATTGTTAAAACCAAACTGTTTTAGAGCTGTCTTCATTTCTTTTGGTGTATCTTAATAATATAATAATAAAAAAAAGTTTAGTTTAGTATTTTTTTAAAAATAATTGACAGAGAAGTGGAAAAGAATTCAATATGTTTTGGTGTAAAATAAAAACAACAAAATTTGTACTGTGGGCAAAAACAGTACTTTTCTTTCCCGTCACATTAAACACGATCTGAGTCATGCACTGATTTATTTATCATTAAACTAACCTTTAGCTTTCAGTTTTTCTGCTGAACAATAAAATGGTTCAAATGAAGGAGGGGAAATTGGCTTGTCAACATGGCTTCGAACTATTTCAGCTTCAATGCAAAGTTCTTCATCATCCCCCACGAAACTGCCATCTTCATCTATTCTAACATCTGATAGCCATAAAAAAAATGTAAAAAAAATTAGTTGCCAAGAAACATCTCCAAGCATTGATTTGTCCTCTAGGCCACATTAACTAAAGTTGAGAATATGCCAGTATATGCCCACAAACTGCAATTTCATCCTTGGTTCAATCAAATAATACAACCGCTAAGTTTCAAAATATTTCATTGAAAACTACATACATCCTTTATCATATTTACAAACTTTTAAAGTGAAAACATAGACCCAAAGCTAAGTTCAAGGTTTGGGATAAAAATATTAAAAACTTTAATAATTGGTCACTGTAGTAAACCAATTAAAAGCCCAACCAAGTTTTTAAAGTTAGCTTTCCAGTCAAGGGAACATTCACTCGTCATCAGCTGTAATATTATTTTCCTGTTTTTACAGTGTGCACAAGATTTTGAACTAAGGGGAATGGTGTATGGTAAAATAATGATCATGATTCTGGAAATACTTTTGTTGCAATAATTGTTAAATGTTCAGTTTTGCATTGAATCAAAAATACTATATTATGGTTACCTTTGAACTTATTGAATCTCACAAACTTCAATATTTCTCCGATAAATTCGTAGGCTACCAACTTAATTTTTGTTTACAGTAAGTGACATTATAGAGATAAACAATGTACTTGAGCTTAAACTGTTAGAATTTCTAAATTAATATACATATTTAAACATACATTATAGGAGATTAGATAAATAGCTGGCGGTTCTCACTATAATAGTTAACCAGCAGCTGCCAGGCAGGATACGCCCACATTTTGCAAGAGATGGATAGAGAACAAGCTAAAAACAAACAGAATTTTTTGTACAATCAGGGGCAATAATCCAGAAAGTTAAGGTCTGAAATACGCAAATATCAAAAGGGACTGAGATCTTTGGGATATAAAGATATGTTTAAAGTTTCATCAAAATCGGATAAAAATTGTGACCTCTACAGAGTCCACAACCTTCGTAGCATGCTTTTACACAATTTGCGTACAAAGTGCAGCCATTTTGTCCAGCAGTTTCATTTCGATTTTCCCGAAATTCAAATTCAACCTTCATTACGGTGGAATGGTGATGTATTTAAAAGGTTTTTAAAATAGGAAAAAACTGTGACCTCTAGAGAATCTGCAGATAAAAATGTGATTTTTCGAAAATTTAGGGGCCATAATCCAGTTAAGTTCGGGTATCCGCGATTATCAAAGGAACCAACATCTTAGTGTGTAATGGTCATATATTTACACGTTTTTTTTTAAATCGGATAAAAATTGTGACCTCTACAGGAACCACAAGCTAAAAACGTGATTTTTTTGTACATTCAAGGGCCATAATTCAGGAAGATATTGAAAGGAACCCAGATCTTTGGGTTATAAACATGCATTTCAAATTTCATCAAAATCAGATAAAAATTGTGACCTCCAGAGGATCCACAACCCTGATACTGATACACAATATTTTGACACTATTTGCGAATGAGGGGCGGCGATTTTGTCAGTCAGTTTCGGTCCGATTTTTACGAAATTCGAACTCAACCATCCTTAGGGTGTAACAGTGATATATTCAAACAGTTTTGTAAATCGGATAAAAATTGTGACATCTATGGGGTCCACAAGCTAAAAACAATTGTGGACGGACAGACAGGGGCGACGACAATATACGTCCACATAAAAATCTGGGCGTATAAAAACTAGATAATGTAAGGGGAATTTCCTGAAAATTTCAGTCAAATTGATCCACTCTGAACCAAGATTTTGGCGATTGAATTTTCGACCTAGCCTCGATCATCGTTACTAAAGTCGGTACAATAAAAACATAGTCTCGATTATCCATTTCATGATTAAATCAAGAATAAAGTGGAACAGCAAATGGTATCCTAATCCAGTAAACATTGCAGGCTAGCGTTGACATCGATAGTTGATTATTGTCTGGATGAGTTAATTAATGTCTAATTAATAATTTAGATAACATTTCAGGCCTAAAGAAAGACCTGCAATAGGGAGATTTAGCTCTTGCATAATGTATGTTTAACAATTATGGTATTGGCAATTATTGGCAATTTAAAATGGTTGGATACAAAAATAAGTTTGTTTGCAGTAAGCAGCCTTAACAAGAGATAATCAATTATTCAATAGACATTATTAAAACTTAAAATTTCTAAAATAATATGCTTGTTTAACGTCCACTCGACACAAACTAGGCCACTTCAGGACTTTCGGGACTAACACATGGTCCAATTTTGTTTCAATAATTCGCTTGCGCGTAGGGGTCTTTAGCAGTGGGAGGAAACTGGAGGGCCAGGAGAAAAACCACAAGGTTGGACAGGCGACCCTACTCCTTGTCACATACAATCAGGGAATCGAAACCATGCCAGTTGACTCAATGACAGACCTTATGATACAGTGTAGACCTAATGAAGCTTTAAAGAGCAAATGACGTGTTTCAGTATGTCATGTCACATCTCATCACGTCAACATTCACGTTACACCATGAATTATGGAGTGTAATAACATCCGATAGCTATTAAAGTGGAAAAACCTGTTATTTTGAACTCTTAATAAAACCAGAAGTTATACTTCATGACCAAACTTTTTTTTATATTAATTGTAAGTAGACATCAGGGTCATCATACATACAAAGGTCAAGGGTGATGGAAAGGTTAGGTCACTATCTAGAAGGTGAAAAGTCGATCAAAATCAGAATTAAAAAATCGGCTCCCCAAGAATTGTTGGCATTTGGAGTAGGTTCAATACAAAAAAAAAGGTTTTCGAAAACCCGAATAAAATTATGAGATATATGACCAAATTTTTGTTTCATTCCAGCCATAATCAAGTTGAGTGATGTCACAGGACCTTCACATGACAATTGTCAATATAATTTATTGACAGCATGATTCAATTAACATGCTGACTATATTATAGACTCTGCAATTATCAATTACCTAACACAATACAATTACCAACAGTTCGCTGATGTCTACCACAAAAATCCCAAATAAACAGATGACACATATTAAAGATACCTTATGGGAGATTTTTATAGAGAGTTGGCCATTCTTGCTATAACAGTTCAAAAGTAGACGATGAAAGAAGAATATATTGAAAATTTTAGTCAAATTACTTTATTCTGAACAAAGTTATCATCGTTGTAATATTTGACTAGAAATGGTAGTCAAATATATCTTCACCTTGGCCGATCGTTTGATTGACAGGCGTTAACTCCACCTACATAATCTCGATTATCAAGTAACGTTTTCAATGGCTTGAGACGGGGTTGCAGTTCAATTCGTATCACATTTATTTTTACAACAAATTAAAAATAAGACTTTTATTATATAGATAAGAAGCGAAAGTTTGAAAGGAATGGACCAAATCAATGAGGCATAATTATAGCCGACTTCTTGTTAGCCTGCGTGTACTCTTGTACTGTAAGGTGACTACGTGACTCCCGAAGCAGACAAATACTAGGAAACACTACAGTGATCCAATGGGGCTGCAATTCAACTGGAGTGATGTTAGTTAGTGACAAAAGAGCGTATAATACCAACATCCAAACTCTCATTTTAACCACAACTGAACATAATATCAAGGCCGTATATATCGAAATTTCAAAAAAGAAAAAGAATTATACAGACATTAGATTTACAAATAAAGGGAGATAGCTCTAAATACTGATAAAGAACACATATACTGAGACACAATAATAACATACTAGCATGATGTCACTGGAAGTGCTGGTGAGACATAATGCAAACCACAAAGACCATAACAGCTTTACTTTCCAAGAGAAAAGTAGACACAAAGGGTAAAAATCAAAATCCAATGAGGTTTACTATGTCGTCACAGGAGGTAAGCCTCTCAGTGTCTGCTTGCGGAATCCTTCTGTACTCTTGTAATACTGCTTTAAATGGTTCTGGTACTAATGCCCTCTTGAACACAATGGCACGTTCTCAACCTTGCTATATTGTTGCATCTGCCACAGACCTGTATGAGTTGTACTGACCCTGGCATTTTCAAAGCCACATTTCATACGCCATGGCTGCACCATAAAATTGTGATTTCCAACATTTCCATTCTATCAAATTCATTTTTTTGTGCTTCGAGAGAATTGATCTGTGATTTGCTTATGCAATCATGAAAGCATCATTCTTACATGCTCCGGTCTTTTTCGCCAAGTCGGAGCAAAACAGTAGGACATTAAACCCCATTTCATTTCTTAAATGGTACCATTGTGATCTGATGTGATTACATTCAGAATAAAGTGTATCTTTCAAATGAGATTTACAGAAGTGGTGTGTTTTCATTGCATCTCATTATATTATGGATGATACAAGCTTTAATTGTATCAACCAAATATTAGTCTGCTCTACAATGTATTTTCAGTAAAAGAAGGTGTAAATTTTAACAAAACAACCAAGAGCAAGAATGACTGAGTATGTGACTAACCTGTGCTTAAATTAGGGTGTTCTCTATCTATTTTGACACCATTTGCCATTAAAGCTGCCTCTTTCAAAGTGAGGAAATCTTTTTCATCTACTGGCTTTGGATCATAGTTTCGTTTCTTATTAGTCTGCTTACCTTTCTCTGAAAAGAAATGTCAGTACTGCATAACAGATCAACAAACATCTTAATATTCATAAAATGTAATGGATGAATCAGAAGAGATATTCATTGCCTCATATTTAGAAACAATTAGGAAATAAACACCTCCAGTTTAGAAATTAGAGGACTGTTCTTGTTCATATAATACTGCAACAAAATGAAGTAAATTTGATATACATAAATACAACCAGATTAATTGACACTGAAAATCTTTGTACAAGAGTCGTTGGTCTATAATGGTGCAAAACAACAATTCTATCTTAGTAGAAATGTATCAAATATTAATGAAGGGTGTAATTATGTATCAAACTAATAATGAAGGGTGTGGTATGGAGAAAGAGAGAGAATCAGGGTATAATATCCACTTGACACAACCTATTTACATTATTTCGGGACTAACATATGGTTCAATTTTACATCAGTAATTCAATAGTTCTTTAACAGTGTAGGGAAAATAGCAGACCAAGAGAAAACCCCTATGAGGATGGACAGGCAACCCTATTCCTTCTTACTTACAAGTTGGAGATTGAAACCAAGTCACTTGACTTATGACAGAACTTATGATCTTAAAAGACACACAATCAACCACTGGACCCCTATCGATCTGGAACCACAGTACTGCTACTCTGTAACTCATAAGTGTATTTAACATATAATACCTGGACAATTATTAGACCAATGTCCTTCTAAATCACAAATAAAACATTTTCCACCATAACTTTTACTTCTTGCCTGCATTTTCATCTTCCATTGTTTTCGTTTGTACATTCCACCAGTCATTCCTCCACCTTTACGTTTGTACTTCTTTGACTTCATATTTAGTCGTACAAAGTTTTCATTGATACCTTTTTTGGAAGCTGGTGCAGCAATCCTGTAAAATTTTTGTGGATGATTTCTACACAGCACACACAACATGACCTTAACAAAGTGTTGTACTTGGAGTCTTGAAGACAGTGTTTATTATAAACACTTAACACCAATTTGATTAAAATTATTCGATATGTGATTATTTATATGTCAAATGCTTTAAAACACTCTAGAGCAACTTGCACAGTTCTGTGGAAGACACAGCGTGTGGCTGCTAGAAGTGGACAAACACATTACTGACTTTTTATTTTTACCCCTTGTGTTATGGCCTCTCTGGATTGTTGTTCATTTTCTAGTTTCAGTAATTGAGCTGCATTATGCCTCATCATAATGTAAAGCAAAGAGTTTATTTACCTCTTTAGTGGCTTTCTTTCAACCATTTCAACATCGTCTATACATGATATCTAAAATAATATTTGCAAAATAAGATTAATCCACTTAGTTCAATATTTGCACGTCAACATTTTTTTTTTTTAATCAAATCCCAAACATGCCAGAATACAGACTAAGTATAGAATTTAAGACCAAGCAATAAAACCAAAATTAAAAACAGGGAAAACAAATTTTATTCTTCAAAAATAAACACTTAAAGCAATTCAAAAACATTAGGGTTGGGCGATATACCGATTTTTCGGTATATCATGATCAATTCATCGACGATTTTATCATATCGGACTTCTTTAAAAATATTGAAAAACCGGTATATCGTGATAACCAAAATTATCGCGATATAATTATTATGTCCCAATACTGTTGATAATATCTACATCATATGAAGTCGAAATTGCAATGCTTGAGGTCATGATTGATGCAAGGACTCGTAATCGAGCAAAAGTTGTTTGGCAAGGTCAAGGCTGGACAGTAATGCATGTCTCGGGGTACAAGTCGATACTTTTTTTCCGCTGCCAAAGTTGGACCTTCGTCTTATAGTCTGTATCGACTTATATATCGATGAAGGTAAAAAAAAATGAGATAAAAAAAATGTTTCTCTGTAACTGTCGCCCTAAGAAGTACGATGTTGAGTGACATCGTTTGCTAAATATCAAAATAATAGCGCTCTCGTGGCAAAGTCAACACACATTGTTCCGACTTTTGCTATTGTTATTCCAACACCATACTTGTCGAAGTTTCTGAATATATATAGTTTGTTAAACATTTTTTTAAAATATAACCAACATTCAATAAAGGATAGAAAATATCATTAAGATAGAATCTTTCTGCCGACAAGAAACACATCTCTATCTCTCGTAATTTATCGCAAGAATTCTACTTTGGTTTTCAACTAAATTAACCAATCATAAAAATTCTACTTTGAAAGCCCATAATTATTTTTTTATTGTCCCATCAATACATGCCTTCTATTTTATTTTATTCTATTATTAGTAACACTGTGCGATCGCCAGTCACGTGCGAATAGAAACTGTGTATTGTCTTGTATCTATTGGAGATATCGGAATAATATAAAGGTTCAAATGAATCAAGAACAAAACTTAGAATAATACTCAAGTTAGTCCTACAGTTAGCAGCTAATTATTTTACATTAATTGATTTTGTTTAATTACATCAGCACCGTCGTATTAGACTAGGATAATAACACTATTGTAACTCAATAAAAGATTACTGCCCAAAATGAATGGAAAAACATTCTTCTGACACTACACCGCTTCGACTTATCTATGGACAGAGGTCGGAAAAACAGTAAAATATGACGATTCGACTAATACCCCTCATCGACTAAAACCCTGTAAAATACGGTATTTACCTCAGTCGCATCTGTCACTGTCTTATAAATATCAAAAAGTAGATATTCGAACCCTTCCAGTTATGTTTACGTATTATTATTAATATTTTACTTCGACTAATGTACGACATTCTATTGATAGGATTAAATTCATCCGTAACAATAGCATTATTAAGTACCAGCTGGTCTAAGATAAAACTCCATCACCGACGTTAACAACAAAAATCTGGCATCAAGCAACGATTCTAGGACCATGTTTTCAAATTTGACTTCTTAAGACACATGTATAAATTATCAAGATAATATCGTTTATCGTGATATTAGATAAATTATTATCATGATATTTTTATTTCATTATTGCCCAACCCTACTAGCCCTGTCCGATGTGCTTAACTACACAGTCTTTGCATTAGCCAGCATTAGAAGCTTTTTTGCACTTAAATGATGTCAATTTAACATAAGAACATATACTGCACTTCAATATACAATGTAATTTTTTTACAAAGGTATATGAAATATTTCTAGTCTGCTTAACAATGGCGTTACCTATAACCACAAGGACATTAAAATACAATACTTTTGTATGAAACATAGGTCTATTAGTGAAAAAGGAAGTCTTATGATGTCTCTTTCAATAAGTCTAATTACCAATGCGCACAAGTTTTTCTTTTACACAATTACCAGTTTTTATTTAATAAAACTAGCGGGTGCCAGGCAGGATATGCCCAAATTTTGCAAGAGATGGATAGAGAACAAGCTAAAAAAAAAGAGATTTTTTGTACAATCAAAGGCCATAATTCAGGGAGTTACGATCCAATATGCACAAATATCGACAGGAACCAAGATCTTTGGGTTATAAAGATATATTTCAAGTTTCATCAAAATTGGATCAACATTGTGACTTCTAGAGGGTCCACAACCTTGATATACACTATATATGCGTGTGAGGGGCGGCCATTTTGTCCGGCAGTTTGGGTCCGAATTTTACGAAATTCGAACTCAAGTATTATTACAGTGTAACTCAGCCGTCAATAGGGTGTAACAGTGAAATATTCAAACGTTTGTTTCAACTGGATAAAAATTGTGACCTCTAGAGGGACCACAAGCCAAAAACGTGATTTTTCGTACAATCAAGGGCTATAATTCCGGAAGTTACGATCTGATATGTGCGAATATCAAAAGGAAAGATCTTTTGGTTATAAACAGGTATTTCAAGTTTCATCAATATCGCATCAAAATAGTGGCCTCTAGAGGGTCCACAAGCTAAAAACATGATTTTTGGTACAATCAGGGGCCATAATCCATGAAGTCATGGTCAAATATATGCCAAGATCGAAAGGAACCGTGATCTTTGGGAGATAGACCTATCGAATAAAAATCTATGAAGTTATGGTCGGATATATGCTAATATCGAAAGGAACCGTGATCTTTGGGAGATAGACCTATCGAATAATAATTGTGACCTGTAGAATGTCAACAAACAAATTGTGGACAGACGGACAGGGGCAATGACAAAATACGTCCACATGAAAATGTGGGCGTAAAAAAACTGCTCACATTTTTCGTTGATGATGAATCTATTTTTTGTCGTTTATTACAACTTTTCACAGAACTTGCTGCTTTTCTTTTTGTAGCTGCTGGTTTTACTTTTACAGTACTGGAAGCATTATCACTATCAGAATCAAATGTATAATCATCTTTATCTTTAGAGCTACCTGCTTCTTCTGTTTCTTTGTTCAGTAATTTAGCATTACTTTGTTTTTCTAATTTTTCTTGTAAAGCAGACTTCCTTTTGAAAGGTTTAGGTCTAGGCGTATCTATATAATCACAGTTTGCTGGTAAAGTTTTAGAGTGCGAAGAGAAGGAAAATGTATTCTTGGACAGGTTAAGGCTTAGAGAATTACTGACTTGGTGTGTCATGTCAGACATTTCCATATCATTTATTTCCACAAGTGGGCCTCCTTCTTCAACACTTTTGTTCATAAATTTAGATTCAAATTCTTCAGCTTTTTGCTTAGCTACTTTAACAGATTGCACAGTAAAACGAGGTTTAGATGGTATACAGTATTGGTCAGGAATATCAGACAAATGCTTTGGTTTCAGTGATCTGGAAGGACTCGGTGTAAAGCAACTGACATTTGAGAGTGACCTACTCTTAAGACAACCAAAAGAGTTTATCACTAAGTCACCAGATATATTATTTTTGATTTGTGAAGAATTGGATGTTATATTTGAAGTTTCATTATTAAAAGGTTCATCGGGATCATTATATTTTGATTTTTCTTTTTCCAAACTTTTCTTCTGTTGATGTTTCTCAGAATTGGCTGATGTAGATGCAGTGGAAAATATTCCTCTATTAGGTGTCTGCAAACAACAAGCAAAAGTTTCAATATTAAATTACGAGAGCATCGCTAACAGTAACACTGCAATATACGTCCACATTCCTGCTTTGATTGATATGATACATTTTAAAATAAAGAGAATGAAATATGAAATGGCTGTAATATGACAAAAACCAAAGAAGGCTAGGCGTTGGGTTTGTTTTGCCAAATTTACAGACAAAAAAGTGGGTGTGACACTGCCCCAGGGACCAAAATAAATAGTTGCTGTCCTTACGCTATAAGGACTAAATATGCAAAGTTCCAAGATGATCCATTCAGAATTGCAGCCTGTAGATGATAAATACAAAAATTGGGCATGGTTCTGCCCCTGGTAGTTGGATATGGAACAATATAAATAGGCACCACCCTGTTATTGAAATCATTTTTATGCTGAATACAGGCCACGAAATTTCCAATTTTGGCGTAACCAGAAAAATGGTTGCGGGTTTATGCTCTGCGTAACCATTTTCTTTGGTTACGCCAGATGACCATTGTGTAACCAATTGGTTACATAAAATGGTTGCGCTATTTTTATGTTTTATCCAGATTTAAATGGTGCTATTATTATCATTATTCGTTTCCACTTGCAGTAAATGCGTTTTTTAAAGAAATAAACTGACTAATTTATATTCTTTTATATTTAAGTGTTGATGACTTTAATCCCACAGTGTCCCCATTTTAAACATTAGAAAAAATTGTTCCACTTCACTAAATCCCTATATTTTAATAATTTTTTATCAATCGGCTTTTCCAAACATCAGGCTGCTGATGTACGTAAATGGCTACTCAGTTAACTGGTCACGGTTCAGTTGCAGAGGGGAATCGGTTCCAAAAATTACTAATGGATTTTTGTTTTTATATCATATCTGACCTTCAAAAACCAGGAATGGTAGCTACCACACTGTTTTCAGTCACTGAAGACTACATACAAGCGTACGTACTTCATATTACACTTGCCATTTGTAATCATTCTTCCAAGCACGAAGACGTACCATGAGATTATGGAACGATATTGTTGCCAATATTATTTCAATGTTCACAGTGCAAAATACATATGTTAGCAGTTCAAAATACGTAATTTAGTTTTACAATTTGCAATTTCCATTTTTCCACAGTACCACTGACACAGTCTTAAAATACAGAATACACTTTTCAATAATACAAAACACAGTATAATAGTTATTTTGCACATTACGCTCCTTCATTCTGCATTTTGCATAATAGACAAATGCATAATAGAACTTAGCATATTAGACATATACCTTATAAGGGATCTACGACAAAGTTCATTTGTCATAAAGTCATTCTGTATAAAAATTGATCAAATGTGAATAAATTTGTTAATGAAATTTGTTAACGTAACCGATATTTCAATTGGCGTAACCAGGAAGTCGGTCGCGTGTTTGTGAGCTAGCCTGACCGCACATAACCGATTGGATTGGTATCGTTCGCGTGAAATTTCGTGGCCTGTGAATTTGAACAAAATTTGTTAATTATTTGTAGATGACAAACAGACAAATATAAGAAATGGGAGCGGCTCTGCCCCTGGGGGTCGGGCATGCACCAAAAACCTTTAAAAACACAAAGCCTCAATATTAACAATTGTGTATTCTACCTTCAATTTTTTAGCACTCATCATTTTGGAATTCTGGAACATTCTATCTGCAATCTTGTCCAGAAAACCTCCCTGTTTGGTCTCTTCTATATCTTTATCATCATTGTCATTCCCAGAAACATTTCTGTTATATTCTGTTCCCCACACAGATGTATCTTTGGTACTGCTATCATCTCCATTTACAGAAATCTGTAAATCCACAAATCACATGAAAATAATCAAAGTTAAAACCTAAATTTTCAGGGAGCAACACATATGTCCCTCAGTAGCTAAGTCATCTGCGTAGTCGTCAAAGGATGTCACACATTTATTCTTCTGTAGACAACTAGAGCATTCAAAGATAACAAGCCAACAGTGAGGCTGATGTCCCCCGCCGAAATCCCAAAATAAATAGATGACACAAATTAATTAATCGCAAATTTATTTTTTTCAAAAGTATTGAGCAATCAAACTATACACTATGTTTCATCACTCTCTATCAGATAGAATCAAGATTTTCTTGTTTCAAACCATCGACCAATGAAATTGATTAGCTCTGCTTAGCTTCAGCTCGAAATGTCAATCATTGAACTCAGTCAAGACATTCACCTAATGAACATCTACATCAAGTTTAAACATTCTACCTCAATTAAAAGCAGAGATGTTATGTTCCAAAGTCTTGACCAATCAAATTGCTTATCGCTTCTTAGCCTAAGCAGAAAATTCTCACCATCGAACTTAGTCAAGGTAATACGCATACGCCAAGTTTGAACATTCTACCTCAATCAGAAGGAGAGTTATTGTGTTCCAGAGTCTCGATCAATCAAATTGCTTATCACTCTGCTTACCCTCAGCAGAAAAAGTTCATTATCGAACTTAGTCAATGTAATGAAACTATACACCAAGTTTCATCTCTCTCACTTAATTAGAACTAAAGTTATTGTGTCCCAAAGCATCAACCAATCAAATTGCTTACTTCTGCTTACCTTAAGCAGAAAATGCTCATCTTCGAACTCCATCAAGACATTGACCTAATACACACCTACACCAAGTTTGAACATTCTAGCTCAATTAGAAGGAGAGTTATTGTGTTACACAGTCTAGGCCAATCAAATTGCTTATCGCTCTGCTTACCCTGAGCAGAAAATGCTCATTATCGAACTTAGTCAGGGTATTGATGTAATGAAACTATACACCAAGTTTCATCCCTCTCACATAATTAGAACTAAAGTTATCGTGTCCCAAAGCATCAACCAATCAAATTGCTTATCTCTGCTTACCGTAAGCAAAAACTAAATACATTGACCTAATAAACACCTACACCAAGTTTGAACATTCTAGCTCAATTAGAAAGATAATTATTGTGTCCCAAAAAGTGTGATGGACAGACAGACAGACAGACGGATGAACCCATTTTAATAGTCCCCTTTCTTTGAAAGGGTGGGACAATTAAAACCGATTAAGAGAAACAACCGATGAAGTAATTATCAGAAATAACAAAATTTTGACTGGCTTCTATATAGTTCTTCCTAGTGTTTATTATTATCATAGTCTACCTGTAATCAGATGATAAAATGAATCGATCAAGTTACCTGAAATCATTTAAAATTAATAGAGATGTGTCTTCAGAATTTTTCAAATTGATTATGGGTCACCACTCTGACAGCAATATGGGAAATCTTTTAAAATATAGATTTCTTCATTTCAAAAACATTAACACTGTGTATTACTTTTAAGTCAATCGGATGATAATTTTAGCCTTTAGAGCATCTACAGGCATTTGTCGAATACAGGCTAATAACAATATATGACCATATTTAAATGTATAATGTTGGTATATAAAACAGGTTGAATCAGATAAAAAAAAAAACTATAAAAAAAAACAACTTACATTTAAATCTTGTTTTAAGCTATTAGTTTCTTTCTTCATTTTTGAATATTTAGCATAACATTCTACAAATATATTAAATATCAATGCAGTGAAATCAATTACATGCATATTCAAGTGGTTTTAACTGAACACATTCAATTTCTTAATTGCATGCTAAAGGCAGTGCTTATTTATATTTATATGTGGTTTTAAGAGCAAATTATTGGCATGAAATAATCAAAAGCATTTTTATGAATTCCAAGAATTTCTAAAACAGATAATTCTTATTGTTTTTAAAGAAGCTAAATATATTTGATGCAAGTCAAAATAAAGTAGTTGATTGGGTTGATTTTTCATACAATCAGGGACCATAATCCAGAAAGTTATGGTCTGAAATGCGCAAATATCGAAAGGGACTCAGATCTTTGGAATATAAAGATATATTTTAAGTTTCATCAAAATTGGATAAAATTTGTGTGACCTCTAAAGGGTCTACAATCTTAATACATATACAGAATTTTGCGTACAAAGAGTGACCATTTTGTCAAGCAGTTTTGTTTCAATTATCTCTAAATTCAATTTCAACCTTCATTATGGTGGGATGTTGATATATTTAAACGTTTTTTAAAATTGGATAAAAAATTGTGACCTTAATCTACAGACTAAAAAACAAGATTTTTTGTACAATTAGAGGCCGAAATCAAGGACGTTACAAACAAATATGCGCAAATATCGAAAGGAACTGAGATCTTTTAAGTTTCATCAAAATCTGATAACAATTGTGACTTTTAGAGGGACCACAACCTTGGTTGGTATGATTGTATGACATACTTTTACACTATTTGAGTACAAGGAACTGCAATTTTGTAAGGCAGTTTTGGTCTGATTTTAAAGAAATTGGAACTCAACCATCATTAGGGTGTAAAGGTGATAAATTTAAACGTTTTTTAAAATTGGATAAAGCTAAAACCGAGTTTTTTCATACAATCAGGGTCCATAATCCATGAAGTTACAGTCCGATATGTGAAAATATTAGAAGTAACCCCGATCTTTGGATTATAAACATACATTTCAATTTGCATACAAGGAGTGGCCCTTTTATCTGGCAGTTTCGGTAAGATTTTTACGAAATATGAACTCAACCTTCATTGATGTGTAACAGTGATATATTTAAAAGTTTTTTTTTTAAAAGAGATAAAAATTGTGAACTCTAGAGGGTCCACAAGCTAAAATTACGATTTTTTTGTACACTCCGGCGCCATAATCCAGGAAGTTCCAACTCAACATTCGTTATGGTGTAACGGTGAAATATTTAAAAGTTTTTTTTAAATAAGATGAAAATTGTGAACTCTATAGGGGCCCATGAGCTAAAAACAAGATTTTTTTGTACAATCAGGGGCCATAATCCAGGAAGTTATGGTCCGATATGCGTGAATTTCATCAAAATCGGATAAAAATTGTGACCTCTAGAGGGTCCACAACCTTAGTATTACATACTTTTACACTATTTCCGTCTGTGGAATGGTCATTTTATCGGGAAGCTTTGGTCCGAGTTTCATGGAATTCAAACTCAACCGTCATTATGGTGTAACGGTGATTTTAAAATCAGATAAAAATTGTGACTTCTCGGGGGTCCACAAAAAAACGTGAACAATCAGGGACCATAATCTGGGAAGTTACGTTCCGATATGTGCGATTACTGAAAGGAGCCGAGATCTTTGTGACATAAACATACATTTCAAGTTTCATCAAAATCGGATAAAAATTGTGACTTTTAGAGAGTCCACAACCTTGGTACTACATACATTTACACTACATTTGCTGATTACACTATTTTGCCTTATTACACTATTTTGCCTATACCGTTTTTTAGGACTTCGAATTTTGTCTAAAGGTTTGGATTGTTCGTACTTGGTTTTATATTTTATACATTTACACTATTTCACATTTGCGCAAAAGAAGCGCCCATTTTGTCTGGCAGTTTCGGTTAGATTTTTACGAAATTTGAAATCAACCTTCATTGATGTGTAACAGTGATATATTTAAACAATTTTTAAAACTGAATACAAATAGTGACTTCTAGCAGGTCCACAAGCCATATACCTGGAGATTACTTTCGGATATGCGCAATTATCGACAGGAACCAAGATCTTTGTGATATAAACTTAAATTTAAAGTTTCATCAAAATCAGATAAAATTTGTGGTCTCTAGTGGATCCACAACCTTGATATCCCATATTTTTACACTATTTGCGAACAAGGAGCGAACATTTGCCCGGCAGTTTTGGTCTGATTTTCACGAAAATCGAACTCAACCATCATTAGGGTGTAACGGTGATATATTCACACATTTTTTTAATCTGATAAAAACTTTGACATCTAGAGGTACCACAAGCTAAAAATGCGATTTTTCTAACAATCAAGGGCCGTAAATCAGGAAGTTTCATCAAAATCGGATCAAAATTGTGACCTCTAGAGGGTCCACAACCTTGATATGCCATATGTCTACAATATTTGCGTACCAGGGGCAGCTTTTTTGTCCGGTGGTTTTGGTCCAATTTTCATGAAATTTGAATTTTTTTTTTAAATCAAGTAATATTTTTAAATCAAGTAAATCAAGTAATATTTTTCCTACAACATAGAAAGGAACCAAGATCTTTGGGTTATAAACATGCATTTCAAGTTTCATCACAATCAGATAAAAATTGTGACCTCTTTTTTGTACAATCAAGGGCCATAACCCTTAAAATTATGGTCCGATACATGCCAATATTGAAAGAAACTGAGATCTTTGGGAGATAGACCTATATTTCAAGTTTTGTCAAAATCGGATAAAAATTGTGACCTGTAGAGTGTCCACAAACAAACTGTGGACGGACTGGCAGACGACAAGGGCAACGGCAGAATACATCCACCTGAAAATGTGGGAGCATAAAAATAACATATAAAATCCAATGAAATTGATAATTATACTGGTATTTGCTACTTTTTTAAAACAATACTTTTATTCACGATACCTGAATGGTATTGGGGAACAGGTTTAGTCCATGATAAACCTCTAATCCTTATTTGTTACCTAAATCAAACATACTTTCATTTTAAGATATTTCATAAATACTGCTTTCTGTGTAATTAATACAGTAATAGTTGTTTACCTCTGATTTCTAATGGAGCTCTTTCAATATCAGACTGGAAAATATAAATACTAGTTTACATATTGAGTTAATTGTTTTATACTGAAAAAATAAAAGAGAGTATCTAACTAAAACGTATTAATATTCTTCAATGATCAATGCCGTTCATGTGACATGCATAATGTGATGATTTTCCTTGATTAACTTGTCACGGTTTAAAGTTTGATTCAATGGACAAAGTACATTTAGAACCGGTATTAATTATTAATATTAAGCTTTAAATGAAAAGCAAGTATTAATTACTCTTCATCTGAATTTAGAATACATCTAATCCACACGCACACCTCGTAAACATTCACCACAGCATACCTGATTGTTCACTCTACACGTGGTTTTATAGTACACAATGTCATAAAAAAAAGAAAATAATGGCCTGCAATTTTTCAAACAATATATATAAAGCATAGCCAATGTTATGTAAAATTATTCAAATATAACAAAATGTGTAATTCTTCAATGAAACTGCTTCAATATGATAAAAGAGCAAAACGCTCACTCATTAAAATCATATCTTTATTTCATTGACTTTTTACATATTCAAGACGTCTGCCATTCAACAGTCTGTATTAAATTGAATCTGGTTAACTACGAAATATGGAACGTGAAAATAACATCTTATTTTAGCTAGATTGCTTTTCTGGGAAAGAGGTGCTATATTTTCAAATTCACAGACAAGCTTAATTGGTTCTCCAACAACTGTTTAAAGCAAAGTTTTGATTAGCAAGATACATTTATCATTAACCAACCTTATCTGGCTTTTTATTATTGTGCTGCTTGAAAAATACATTTTCCCATGCCTTTAGTGTTTTCTTCAGTTCCCAAATTTCGGACATGTTCATTATCTTGATTTAAATGAGATAAATTTAGCTTCTTCTCTGACTTATAAATATCTATACAAATACAAAATAAAAGTGAGATGTATGTAAAGTTAAAACTTAAAGATGTGTTCCCACTGAAGCATATAATAGGGTAGTTATTTCGAATAAAAGCATGGCAATTTGGTATATATGAAAAGTTGATAGATACCCAATCTTAGTATTAACAAGCAGTCGCCATGCATGATACACCCACATGGACAGCGAACAAGTTAAAGCAAAAAACAATTTTTCATACAAGAAGTTACGGTCCGATATGCACGAACATCGAATGGAACCGATATCTTTGGGACATAAACTAAACATATATTTCAAGTTTCATCAAAATCGGATACAAACTGTGACCTCTAGAGGGTCGACAACCTTGATATGCCATACTTACACTATCTGCGGTCAAGGAGCAGCCATTTTGTCCAGGAGTTTCGTCGCCTGTCCAACCTCGTGGGTTTTCTCCGGGTCCTCCGGTTTCCTCCCACTGCTAAAGACCCCTCAGCGCAAGCAAATTATTGAAATAAAATTGAAATGACCTAGTTTGTGTTGAGTGGACGTTAAACCCCATTTCTCTCTCTCTCCAGCAGTTTCGGTTCAATTTTCACGAAATTTGAACTCAACTTTCCTTATGGTGTAACAGTGATATATTTAAACTTTTTTTTAAATCAGATAAAAATTGTGACCTCTAAATAGTCTAAAGGGGCCACAAGCTAAAAATGCGATTTTCATACAATCAGGGGCCATACTCCAGGAAGTTATAGTGCGAATATCTAAAGGAAATGAGATCTTTGGGTTATAAACTTACATTTCAAGTTTCACCACAATTGGATAAAAATTGTGACATCTAGAGTGTACACGAACTTAAAGAAGGCATTTTTCGTACAATCAGGGGCAATAATCCATGAAGTTACGGTCTGGTACATGCCAATTTTGAAAGGAACCCTGATCTTTGGGAGATACAAGGACGGACACGCGGATAGGGGTGATGACAATATATGTCCACATGACAATGTGGGCATATAAAAATAGAAAAATACAGGACAAAAATGTAAGGGTATCACAAACTGGCAACCTGTCAGTTGTCTGCTTGTCAGCTAGTTGTCTGCTTGAGTGACATAGGAAATGAAATGGGGTCTAAAGTCTTACTGTTCTGCTCTGACTGGGCTAATGAATACAGGATCACGCCATACAGTGTGCTATAAAGGAAATTTTGCCCAGAGAGCAGCGCTATGGCCTACTCTTATATCAAACTCCAACTGTCAAGGCAAGTGATCTTTTGCATGCATGCCAATGTGGAAACAGGACATTGATTTTTCATCCCATCCAAATGACTACATTGTCCCTTGCCAGGATCTCTGTCCTGCACTACTGGCAAGGGGTAACCATGCCGGAAAATCCTGATGAACTTTCTCTGCCAAAATCTTACTCACTGAGCCACCATGGCTCCTAGAGTGACATAGAGAAGCTTGTCATTTATTGATCAAAATCAAATGGCTAAAAGTGAGAGACTCTCTGATTAATTGGCAGGAACAAGAATTAATGGCAGAAGATAATCCATCATGCTTCAATATTTATGGTAAATGGACATTGAGTAATTACAAATACAAGCTATAAATGCCCCCCCCCCCCACCACATCAATCAAGTCATGTGATTAAAATACAGATCAATATTTTGTTTCGTTGTTTTATACTTTACGGCCTCTACTACATGAAGATCTGATCAGTTGTAGTGGGAGGTTACGTCAGGGGTCATACATTAAGTGGCTTTTGACCCTATGACATCAGACATTTGATTAACCAATCAGCCCAATCAGCTTTGATACTTCTAGTAGGATACCCACAGTACCGGTACTGTGAATCACACGCCAAGAACTCGCTGCATGTGCAACAGACCGTTTCATTGGCTAATCCCTCACATCAACCAGAACGCGGGTTATATAACAACTCTTCTAGATCCTAGCTTAGTGAAGACAAGCCAACAGTGAGGCTGATGTCCCCCCGCCGAAATCCCCAAATAAATAGATGACACATATTAATTAATCGCACGTCTATTTTTTTCAAAAGTATCAAGCAATCAAAATGATTATCAACTATACACTAAGTTTCATCACTCTCTATCAGATAGAATCAAAGTTATCTTGTCCCAAAGCATCGACCAAGGAAATTGCTTATCTCTGCTTAGCTTTAGCTCGATATGTTAATCATTGAACTCAGTCAAGATCAACATATTCTACCTCAATTAGAAGCAGCAGAGTTGTTCCAAAGTCTTGACCAATCAAAATGCTTATTGCTCCTTTGCCTAAGCAGACAATTCTCATCATCGAATTTAGTCAAGGTATTGATGTAATGAAACTATACACCAAGTTTCATCACTCTCACTTAATTAGAACTAAAGTTATCGTGTCCCAAAGCATCAACCAATCAAATTGCTTATCTCTACTTACCATAATTAGAAGGAGAGTTATTGTGTTCCAAAGTCTCGGCCAAACAAATTGTTTATCTCTCTGCTTACCCTGAGCAGAAAATGCTCAATATCGAACTTAGTCAAGGTATTGATGTAATGAAACTATACACCAAGTTTTATCACTCTCACTTAATTAGAACTAAAGTTATCGTGTCCCAAAGCATCAACCAATCAAATTGCTTATCTCTGCTTACCCTTAGCAGAAAATGCTCATCTTCGAACTCCATCAAGGCATTGACCTAATAAACACTTACAGCAAGTTTGAACATTCTAGGTCAATTAGAAGGAGAGTTATTGTGTCCTAAAAAGGGATGGACAAACCCATTTTAATAGTCCCCTGCTTTCTTCAAAAGGCGGGGGAAAACAAGTACCTAAAACGAAATTTTGAACTATAAAAAACGAAACGAAATAGAATCTGTGTTCTAATCAGATTGATGTAAACATTGCCCAAAATCTTTGAACCAAAGATTAGATAAATCTGGGCCCTTATTCTTATCTTTCTATTCTGGCCATAATAATAAAATTCACAAGACAAACTTGAAATAATAACCATATTTTTAAGTTATATTTTTAAAATGTATAAAAATAAAGCCTTAAAGATGGGTTCCCAGAAAAGTATTTATCGGGTGGTTATTTCCAATAAAAGTATGGAAATTTCGGAATATATATGGAAAGTAGAGATATCCAATCTTATTAGAAAAATACTGGATTCCCAGAAAAACACTCATGGAGCGTATACAGGACAAAAATGTAAGGGTTCCCCTAATCGACAACCCAACGATTAGGAATTTCTGCTTGTGTGATGTCAAAGGTCACATGCTAACATTGAGCACTTGATGTACAAGTTGATAAATATTATGAAGAGTTAGACGTACAACACTTTCTGGGATAAAAATGACGGAAAAAGATTCAGGTAGTGGATAATCCGAGAATTTAATTAGGATTCGATATTTATAATAAATAGTAAGCGATTAAAGACAACACCGTCTTATGTATGCAATGAATTCTCCTCTGACTTCCAAGAGAGGTAAGTCACGTGACGTAAACATGACCTGGTTTGATTGAATTTTTATAGCAGGGCATTCCTTCGCAATTACAATGTTTGAGAAGGATTTGAAGCAAAAGTATGACAAATTAATTAGTTTGAATATATAGTGAGTTGACAACATATTGAGCAAAAGACATAGAAATAATTATGTTTTGACTTTCCTAGAAAATATGAAATTATCGCTTTAAATGAATATAATTAATTCACATATTATATTTTTTAAAATATTGTAAAGACCTGCACTACCAGTAAAAATCTCAGTTCTCAGACAGTACATCTTCTAAAATCTCTGAATATTAACTTACAACTTGGAAAACGTGTATTGTCCTATGCTAGACCTTTTCTATGGAATAAACTACCAAAGTCAATTATTGTCAAAACAGTCCACGGGGAGAGAGAAGAGAGAGAAAAAGATAAATGGGATTTTACGCCCACTCGAAACAAACTATAATTCGCTTGCACATAAGGTCTTTAGCTTTGGGAGAAAACCAGTGCATGAGGTTAAATGGCGACCCCATTCCTGGTCACGTACAAGCGGGGAATTGAAACCACGCTACTTGACTCAATGACAGAACTTATGATCTAAAATGCATCCGTTAACCAATGGGCCACCCAACCCCCCTCTTACCCAAAGAATAATAAAATTAAATAAATACTAGTATTTGTTACATGGTGAATAAACAAAAAACATTAGCTGACTACTGGGGTATTTGCCGTGACCGAAGACTACGTATACATGTATATATAAAAAAAACTACTGAAAGACAACGGATGTATCGAATTGCTTGTTCTTTTATTTTGAAATGTATACATGGTTTAATGGAGTATCAATTACATTCGCTTTGTCATCTCTGAATTATTCGAATTCAAATATATCCATTGATGCATAACAGGTGATTGTGTAAAGGTATCTTGTATTATTAATATAGCATGACATGTTGATCAACCAGGGAAAGTAAAAGATGAATTACGTAAGATTTAGATAAAGAGCTGACAGTTCTTGCAATAATAGTTCAAACATACATTACGCAAGAGCTAAACCTGCCTTTTGCAGGTCTTTCTTTAGGCTCGAAATGTTATATAAACCATTAATTAGACTTTTATTAACAAAACAAGACCATAATCAACTCTCAATGGCATTGGATACTCAACATTTTAACTAGATTAGAACGGTTCGCCATTTAAAAATTTAATTTAAAACTGAGAGAGCGAGGCTAAGTCTCGAATATACCAGAAAGAGAGAGAGGGGGGAGATGGGGTTTAAGTCCACTCGACACAAACTAGGTCATTTTGGGACTAACACATGATTTAATTTTATTTCAATCATTCGCTTGCGTGTACTGGTATTTAGCAGTGGGAGGAAACCAGAAGACCTGGAGAAACCCCACCGGGGAATCGAAACCACGCCAGTTTACTCATTGACAGACCTTATGGTACAGCTCGCATGTGCTAAACCATTCGGCCATCCAACCCCCCCAGCTCTTAAATAATGCATCTTTAACTAGCATAACATCCTCTATACTCAAGTTATTATAAAATTTCAATCAGTTTCATAACATCTAGCATGATTAAACTTAAGCGATAAAATCTCAAAAGTTTCAATACCTTCTGCATGATTTAATTTTAGCGATAAACGATTAATGTACATGGATGATAATTCGGCAATCATTTGATTATAACATTCAGTTTCATAACATTTAGCATGATTAAACTTAAGCGATAAAATCTCAAAAGTTTCAATACCTTTGGCATGATTTAATTTTAGCGATAAACGATTAATGTACATGGATGATAATTCGGCAATCATTTGATTATAACTTAAAAATTTCATTCAACGCCATGATATATATTTACATATATATATAGGTATTTTTACATCTACAAAAGAAATTGTATCTGGGGTTTTTTTTTAAAATGCAAGATGATGCTGGCATACGAATACAAAACACACTGATATGAAAATCATATGACTTGAATTTATATTGTTGCTATATGTATTATTTATATTATCTTAAAAGATTCGTGGTAAATATCATATGACACACGAATACAAACAAGGGTTGTGTGAATATTTCATAGTTCGATTTTCTATTGTTGCTATGACGAAAAGTGAAGTGACTATATATCAATATCGTTATGCATACTGCCTCAGTTTTGTTTTTTAAAAAAATGATAATGTCCCGCAATATGATCAAGCAAAGGTAGTCACCCTAATAATAGTATACCATATGCCCAGGCGGTGTCCTGTTATTCTATCTAAGTAGTAGGCTATCATAGTTCAGTTCTGAACGTAGGTGTATAGAAACTTCTTTGTGTAAAGGTCTGGTGTCGAAGTTGGTTAGCTAGGAGCTCATGAGATAAATACAGTCAAAATCTCGCTAGCTACCTGTAAGGTGACAGATAACATGTGCTTCCGGAAATTATTTGTTGACGAATTTTCCCGCGGTTTATATCAACTAATCACAAGCGGCCGTATAATCCCATCCATGCTTTCACAGAGTCTAATTTTATATAGCCACCGTTATACCAGTAACGGTGTGACAGTTTGAATTGACTCCCGGTGTGTGTTTGCTCCTGGGCACATGCGCATGTCTGAAACTGTTGTTAGCGTTAACAACGAAGCGAGAGAGAGAGAGAAATGAGGTTTAACGTCCACTCGACACAAACTAGGTCATTTCGGGACTAACATACGGTTTATTTTTTTTATTTCAATAATTCGCTTGCGCGTAGGGGTCTTTAGCAGTGGGAGGAAACTAGGGTGACCACCTTTGCTTGATCATATTGCGGGACATCATCTTTTTTTAAAAAAAAAAACCGAGGCAGTATGCATAACAATGTTGATATAGTCACTTCACTTTTCGTCATAGCAACAATAGAAAATCAAATTATGAAATATTCACACAAGCCTGGTTTGTATTCGTGTGTCATATGATATTTACTATGAATCTTTTAGGATAATAATAGATAGCAACAATATAAATTCAAGTCATATAATATTCATATCTTTCATTTCAAACAAAATATATAAATTTTTAATTTGTGCGCCAGAACAGTTTGAAAGGGTGCATTGGCGTTGAATTAAATTTTTAAGTTACAATCAAATGACTGCCGAATTATCATCCATGTACATTAATCGTTTATCGCTAAAATTAAATCATGCCGAAGGTAGTGAAACGTGTTGGGATTTTAACGCTAAAGTTTAATCATGCTAAATGTTGTGAAACTGATTGAGATTTTAAAATAACCGAGTATAAAGGATGTTAAGCTGGTTAAAGATACATTATTTAAGAGCTGGGGGGCTGCATGGCCGAATGGTTAGCACGTGCGAGCTGTATCATAAGGTCTGTCATTGAGTCAACTGGCGTGGTTTCGATTCCCCGGTTGTACGTGACAAGGAGTGTCGCGGTCGCCTGTCCAACCTCGTGGGTTTTCTCTGGGTCTTCTGGTTTCCTCCCACTGCTATAGACCCGTACGCGCAAGCGAATGATTGAAATAAAATTAAATCATGTGTTAGTCCCAAAATGACCTAGTTTGTGTCGAATGGACTTAAAACCCATCTCTCCTTCTCTCTGGTGTGCTTTCCCATTTTTAAATAAAAATTTTAAATGGCGAACCGTTCTAATCTAGTTAAAATCTCGAGTATCCAATGCCATCGAGAGTTGATTATGGTTTTGTTTTGTTAATAAATGTCTAATTAATGGTTTATATAACATTTCAGACCCAAAGAAAGACTTGCAAAAGGCAGATTTAGCTCTTGCATAATGTATGTTTAAACTATTATTGCAAGAACTGTCAGCTCTTTATCTAAATCTTACGTAATTCATCTTTTACTGTCCCTGTGTAACAAATACTAGTATTTATTTAATTTTATTATTCTTTAGGTAAGAGGGGGATTGGGTGGCCCATTGGTTAACGCATGCATTTTAGATCATAAGTTCTGTCACTGAGCCAAGTGGTGTGGTTTCGATTCCCCGCTTGTGCGTGACAAGGAATGGGGTCGCCATCTAACCTCGTCCACTGGTTTCCTCCCAAAGCTAAAGACCTTATGTACAAGCGAATTATAGTTTGTTTCGAGTGGGCGTAAAGTTCCATTTATCTTTTTCTCTCTCTTCTCTCTCCCCGTGGACTGTTTTGACAATAATTGACTTTGGTAGTTTATTGCATAGAAAAGGTCTAGCATTGGACAAAGCACGTTTTCCAAGTTGTAAATTAATATTTGGAGATTTTTTAAGATGTACTGTCTGAGAACTGAGATTTCTACTGGTAGTGCTGGGCTATACAATATTTTTTAAAATATAATATGTGAATTAATTGAATTCATTTAATTTAATTTAATTTAATTTTCTTTGAGTATGGTGACGGTCGTGGTGTTGTCGGTTGCGCTGCTGATAGTGGTTGTAGATGTAGTGTGAGGTGTCAATTATATTCGTTGATTTTTGTCAATATTTTCCATTTCTTATTTTTGAACTCTACTTGGTGTAGGTGTTCATCAGGTAATACCTCGACTGAGTTCAATATAGAGATTAGCCGGTTGATTTGTTGGATATAAACCTTTGAATAATAGCGCCTAACAGGCAGCTGTGTTTAATTATGTTCTCCTGATTTTGATTGTTTTTGTGTGTTTGAAGTATATGTTTGTGATATGCGCTTAGAAACACTTCACGTGTAATGAAGCGCTATATACATCGAACAATAATAATAATAATAATTTCTTATGTTTATTACATTAAAATATCGTAATTGAAATGGGATTTAACGCCCGACTGGGCTAATGAAGACGGGCATACGCCATATTGTGTTCTATGATCGAAATTGTGCCCGGGACCAGTGCTACGGCCTATAGCCTACTCGTATATCGAATTCCAACTGCCAAGGATGCTTTTGCGTCTCATCCGAATGAATATACGTTGACCAAGGCCCTCTGTCCTGCACCAGTGACGGGGGGGGGGGGGGCGCACCGATGGATTTCAGTGGATTTTCAGAATGATGTACAGGGAAAGGTGATCTACATGCTGTGTCCTATGATCGAAATTGTGCCCGGGACCGGCGCTACGGCATATACTTTTTTGCGTCTCACCCGAATGAGTATACGTTGACCAAGGCCATCTGTCCTGCACTAGTGACGGGGGGGGGGGGGGGGTTTGCACGCCGGTGGATTTCGGTGGATTTTCAGAATGATGTACAGGGAAAGGTGATCTACATGTTGGTACAAAAGACCTTCTAAAGGAATTTGTGGTGGGTCTTTCGTCTTTCAGTATTTTGACTAGACTAATACTCAAATAGACTATAGCGAGACTAGATTCACGCATATTACTGTATAGAAATCTTCCATGTGAACAATTGCGGGACAGTTTGGTTGGTTTTCGGGACGCGGGACTTGGAAACATTTTGCGGGACTTTCCCGCGAAATGCGGGACGGGTGGTCACACTAGTTATAGTAATACTGTAAATATTGGTAGATAATGTAGAAACCGATTTGACCGTAAGAAAATCTCAGGGAAACGGTCACTCGGCAAACTTCAGCAGATTCCAGTACGCTAGAGGTTTGCCAAGTGTAGAGTACGGGAATCTACCGAGGTTTGCCGAGCGCATAACGGGGTGAGCTGACCCCCACAACTGCGCATGCGCTAAACCGTAATCACACACCAGGAACCATCTCACACTGTCACACCGGTGTAAATTTATTTGGAAGTTGTAGTCTCGGTCACCCAGAACCTCCTAGTCTTCAACATACGGAGGCAATCTGTTTTACAGACCTAATGCGACATCCGTCTTTTATCTCTGTCCAAGATGACTGACCTTTAAAAGGTCAGATCGCTGTAGTTCTAAGGGTGACGTCACATCACGATGTTTACCAACAAAGCAAGGTGGCATCGATAACACCAAAAAAGATTACTTCTGTGGCTTGTTTTTGTTGTTTTAAAACAAACACGAGCAGGTCAATCAGATTAGACGGTAAAAAATGAACTTCTGAAAGAATTCAGAGTAAACAAACAGAAAAAAACGTCAAATTGATGGTCACACGTGCGTTGTTTACATCGAACGTAGTAATATGAACTGGTACGGGCAAAATTATATCGTTTTACCCACTATTTTCTGTACCTATTTACACTAAATATGGAATATTTTTTATCAAGATATACTTCAAACACCTTTATTTATTTTTCTAATACTAAAAAAAAATGTTTCAGAATTTAATTTGTCGAAAGAAAAAAGTTAATATTTTGTAGTCATTAAGTCGCATCGATGTCATCCTTATCAGTGATTGTAGCGGCCAAGCGAATATTCACTGCGGATCAGTGTGATACGGAGGGTCTTGGACGAAAAGTCTATTGCCCATGCGTAACCGGGAGTTTTGGTTTTAATGTGATTGATTATCCAGTATCTTCACTCGGCAAACCTCGACAGATTCTAGATATAGGGTACCGGAATCTGCCGAGGTTTGCCGAGTGCCAGTATCTTCTGGCCAATTCAAGTAAGAGCTGTGTTCCTTCCCGTAATAAATCTTGCATTAATATAAACAAACATGAATCGTGACGACGAATTGGGATTAATCTTTAAAGAAAAAACATACATAAGGCCCATGAAGAGAGAAGTTTTACAATAAAAAAATAAGAGTGTTGGATATTGAACTGTCATACAATCAAATGGACTTTTTGAAATGGCATTCTTGAATTAATTTCTTGGGCGTCAACATCTTGTTTTAGAGTTACCACCCTTAGACTTTGTTTATAATAATGTAAAAGACCGGATAATCTAGCCAATGACCTATATTCTCAAATGTTCACAACGCATCCAGACTAATATTCGTAGAATGATAGAGTCTATGGAAGTTGTCGTCTTCTGCTGATTCTCCACTAGAGAACGAGGGAGCAGTCAGTGGCGAACGCAGGACATTTCATAGAAAAAGATCATAGGCCTAATATAGGAGAATATTTTATTTATAGGCCTACTGTCATTTACTTTAGCGCGGTTGTGGGGGCCTATGGATCCGCCACCGGGGGGGGGGGGGTAGTTATACGCTATTTTTTAAAAAAAAAAGTCGCCATTTAATATTGACGTATTAAATATACGGTTCGGTCCCTGCGTTGGCCAATAGAGTTTATCCGGATTTTTCGGTGTGGTACCACCTAATTAGTAATTATCAGTGGTGTAGGAGGGTCTGGCAAAGGACGATGTATAGTCGTTCGGATGGGACGATAAACCTAGGTCCTGAGTACACATTGGCGTACACGTAAAAGACAGCTGGAATTCGAAATAAGAGTAGGGTGTCAGGGCCAGATTTCCCATAACACTGTACATGAGGCTTTATCCCGTCTTCATTAGCCCAGTCGTAGCAGAACTTTACGACGTTAATCAAAATTTTATTTCATTCTTTATATATTATGGCTTTAAGCTAACAATTACGATCTTTGTC